CCAGCTTCTGCAACAACCGCGACTGTGGCACCAGCTTCTGCAACAACCGCGGCACCAGCTTCTGCAACCACTGTGGCACCAGCTTCTGCAACAACCGCGGCACCAGCTTCTGCAACAACCGTGGCACCAGCTTCTGCAACCACTGTGGCACCAGCTTCTGCAACAACCGCGGCACCAGCTTCTGCAACCACTGTGGCACCAGCTTCTGCAACAACCGCGGCACCAGCTTCTGCAACAACCGCGGCACCAGCTTCTGCAACCACTGTGGCACCAGCTTCTGCAACAACCGCGGCACCAGCTTCTGCAACAACCGCGGCACCAGCTTCTGCAACAACCGCGACTGTGGCACCAGCTTCTGCAACAACCGCGACTGTGGCACCAGCTTCTGCAACAACCGTGGCACCTGCTTCTGCAACAACCGCGGCACCAGCTTCTGCAACAAATTTGGCACCAGCTTCTGCAACAAACGCGGCACCAGCTTCTGCAACAAATTTGGCACCAGCCAGCAACGCAACCACAGTGGCACCAAACACTCTCCTGGCAGTGGTAAGAAATAGAAATATCCTCCTTGACAAAAATAAAGCGATCACATATGAGGCTCATTGCAAGGTTATTACAGTACAATACTTAAAATTCATGTTGTCACCTTTGTAGGCCAGTATTTCTCGTGAAGAATGTGGCTCCTCAAAGCTCTGTGCAGCTGAACCCTCAGAGTGCAGTCCTGCTTCTGGAAGCTGCCATTTCCTTTCTGCCAAGCAACAAAGTGGCCAAAACTACAACTTTGAGCTCTCAGGACAGTCAGACGGCTACATTGCTGCTGGTGTGTCAAGTACTGCATCTCAGGTAGTGCATATTTTATGGTTTTCTATTAAAATGTTATGAAATCTGAGACACAGCACTATTATAGTTTGAAAGACGGAAAATAAAACAATGTTATGTTTTTCAACAGACTGCCCGTCACAGAGCCTACGTCTGCGCTAAATACAACGGTGCTGTCCGTTTCTTCACCGGCTTCATCAATAATCTGGTTCTAAATCTGACAGAGGTGAGCAAAGCTTTTGTAGCACTAGTAGATGTGTGGAGATATTCATCAATTTGTGCGACACAATGTTTGCATGGACATCATTGTTTCACTTTCAGCTAATTAAATTGTTTCTCTCTTCAGTCGCTGAACTCAAGCAATCAGCAGGGATCAATCAACTCAGGGAAAATCCAGTGTACATTTTCAGCCGTTCTTCCTGACACGACGACACGAGCAGCAGATTATGTTTTGTCTATCTCAACTGGATCTTACGATCCCTGTAAGGAAACACTTCAGCCATTCACGCAATTTCAACATCACTTCCGGCATTCACCAAAGTCATTTGGTGTCACTGTTTGAAATTGTTTTGTGTTTTTGCATCTTTCCTCAGCTTCCGAGGTACTGGGAAACGCAAACTTCAGAGTCCTAACACCTCGTGTGAACCTCTCTGACCCGGCCACCAACATCACCAATTTGCTCGGAGACAACAGCACTTCCTCTGCTTATCCGGTCACACACGCACAGTCATTTTTGCCAGGTAAGCTAATGACACCAAGGCCCGGGAGACAATATAGGGGCTAAACCTTAGTGAGATCAGGTAGAGGCCTTCCAAACGCTAAGATTTGGGTTAGGGTTAGTCATGAGACTAGTGGAAATATGCCACCAACTTATGATTTGTCGTGACAGAGGCTTGATTGTTATAGAGCTAATATGGATAAAGAAAGGTATTCATATTTTGTTTACATGCCATTTTTTTCAATAAACTAGTAGCTACTCTTTTCTCAAAAAAGAAAAAACTAAAACATTTTTTAGTTTCTAATACCTGCCTACGTCATTCCTGATTAAATGTGTGTTTAGTCAGTAAATCGTTGTTCCTCTTTTTATCTTTACTTTTACTTTTTGCCAAAGTCTCACATGAAGACCGTTCTCAAGGCTTTCCAGATGTTCTGTAAATCCGCTGGCTCTTCATATTAAAAATGACCAAAGCACCAAATATCTGACTTCTTTTTGTGTCTTCTCCCCTCCAGTTCTGCTGGTCACCGTGTCCATGCTGGCTTTCACAGCAGCATGAAGCATCGTATCTCCGCCGTGTTGGAAAAAAGTCTGTGACGTCTCTGTCAACCAACACAGACGACTAAGATCAAACATGGATCAGGTCTTGGATGGATTTTCCTACTTTGGTGGGATTCATTTTGTGCTGACTCAGTGATTGCTTTTTTGTTTTTTTTCTAAGAAGAACAACTCTTCAAGCCTCGGCTCCACTGCTTGTTGAGAAGTTTGCAACCCCTTTGTGATTCTGAATCAAAAGAGAAATTATGTCAAAAGCTTCTTCTTTAGTTCTATTAAACTATTTAGCACTACTGGAATTCTCTGTGATATCAGAGTAATGCAAAACTTTTCCACATATAAGGAAAAAAAAACATTTTTTTTTTCAAGAGTCTAAAATATGCCATCATGTTTGAACAGCATTTGGGTTTCAAGGTCTGGCTACTTTTGAAGCCCATTTCACTGCAGCATGTTGAAATCTTCCTCTCTTATTTTGTTGTAATAATGGTGGTAATTATTTAGCAGTTCCTAAAATATAAAGTCTTCAATGGCTGATGTGTACGGACATGTTAATACGATGAAGATGTTAAATGTGGCAAAACATGTTGAAGGTAATTTAAAAATGTGCACAAATGGAATATTTTAATATATATTTTTAATAAAATACTTTTGTCAACTAATTTATTCAAACTGAAATAAATACATCTTCCTGAAGGAATCACTTGGTCCAGCCTTTTTATTGTTCTTTTAACTTTCTTGAAACATTTTTCCACTTCTGTTGAATTTTCTAGGGAAGCTCTGATCAGATTTTTTTTTTTTTTTTTTTTTTGCTACCGATTCCAAAACCGATCCACTGGATTGACTTTTCACTTCAGGTATAAATAAACTATGTGATCTGGCAAAATGGAAAAATAATCTGGTAAAAAAATCACCTAATTTAGACAAAACCGTGATGACCGAAATTATTCTTCGGTTAATTTTGCGAAGCTTTCTGACAGTGACGCTCATCCAGAAGAGTGTTGGGAATTGTGCGCCGCTTCACCTGCTGTCTGACTGCTCTGGGTGCCTTTTTCCCGCAGTGAGCCTTGTAAACGGATGTTTAAAGGCTCACTGCCTTAAAACATTAAGGCAGTAAGAGTAATCTGCTGATTACTCTTACCAACAATCGAGTAATCGCGTAAAAAAATTTTAGAAGATAAAATGAGGCATAACACCAATGTTATTATCATCATAATATCATTATCAGTCCAGTTTTTCCATTTCTGAGCTTCCCTAACAGTTACTTTTCTGTAGTTTAGAAAACTAACCCGTGACAATAATAGCTCACTTTCTACGTTAACCTGAAGAAAAGTTATGCAAAAATCTGAAATTCTATTCAGTTTAACAGTGAAGAGCCAGGCTCACAAATATGCTTCTAAAAATGTCAAACCTCCAGCTTTTAGTTTATGTATTCATCCTCAGTGAGTTTGATAGATGAACTCTCTCACCTTGTCCCATACCGGTCACGCTTTGAGAATACAAGAAATGTTGCCTGGAGTGAAGTGACATAAGATGGGGTTGGAGGGGAGGAGATAGACGAATGTAAGCCAGCAGGGGAAAGACGACCAGTAGATCAGGGATGAACTTAAGAACGGCGGGGGAGCAATACGTGATATTTACGGCACCTTTGTTCGTCACGCTCAGAAACCAAGTACCGCCATGGCTGGTAGATAGGATTTCCGCCTCCCGTTTGTTGAGACCGGGATGATATGAAATTCATTGTGCGGTTTGTCCATAAAGTTACACTCACAGTATTTATACAGGTAAGCTATGTGCTTACCTGTATAAATACTCCTGCAGCTCTCTTCCAGCAGCTCCAGGAGGAGAAAGGCTGCCGTACATCAGGCATCGCGCCAGTCATTTTAAAGTCCCCCAAAAATGATGAAGACCCGGGAATTATCATCTATCAGTAAAATCCCCAGGTGCCGAACTTGAAAATTGGATGTTATGCCACTAAATAAGGACTCAAGTCCTTATTTTTAAAATATCATATTAAAAATGACCAAAGCACCAAATATCTGACTTCTTTTTGTGTCTTCTCCCCTACAGTTCTGCTGGTCACCGTGAATATGCTGGCTTTCACAGCAGCATGAAGCAACTTATCTCCACCATGTGAGAAAAAAGCCATTGCGTCCCGACCCATCTCTGTCGAGGAATGTAAAACTGAACAAAAACAAATGACGAAGAAACTAATTGTTTTCTTTAAAGACCTCAAAATGTATCACCAGGCTTAACAACATTTAGGTCTCAAGTTCCGATTACTTTAGAAGCCTGTTATATGGGCCCATGTGAAAATCTTCTTTTCTTACTACTTTTCATAACCTTTTCTTATTTGCTGTAATAATAATGTTAGTTATGTCACAGTTTCTAAATTATAAAGGCCTTACCAGCTGATTAGTGTCAGTAGAGGTCATTTTAAAATGTGCACAAATATTTTAGTCCATGTTATTTAATACAATACTTACTTATTCAATAGTTAAATAAATATATCTTCCTAAAATAATCACCTGGTCCTGTTTTGTATTGTTCTATTTTTAACATTTTCTTTAAACATTTTTCCACTTTGAGGGAAGTTCCCACATGTTCACTTAATCTACGCTGGACACATTTCCATGACCTAATCTGCTTAGAGATTTAAAGTAAAATAATTCTAGATTTTTTTTTAAGCAAGGTTCAAATTTTACAAAGTCAAATGAGCTTTAGAAGTATGCAAATTTCTCATGCTTGCGTAATCTTGTAATCTTGTTTTTTTAGCAAATCTCTGACACAATCACCATCTTTAAGACCTTTAAACAAGTAAACTCACCAGGTAACATACCACACCTGTAACAGTTTCTTTCACTGCAGTGTCTCCTCCCTCTTTGTGGGACTTAAATAGTGGTCCAGAGTGAAGAAATGTCACATATTCACCTGGGAATCAGAAGAGATTGGATAAAAGCGACGTGCGACTCATCCCTGGGAATAAAACCACCTCTGTTCAAGGACTTAATCTTTTGCATTAAGGAGAATAACATCTACAGGTAGGTACAAGAGCAACCGCTGCCTGTTTTCAAAGAGTTTTTATATTACTCTATTATTTTACAAAAAAGACTGTTTCAACCATATAAAGAGGTAGAAGTGTTAAATGCTTTTAAATGTGTAAAGAAGTTTCCTCACCTGGTCATTTAAAAGAGTAAAAATTCATTATTTATTAACTTTTTTTATTTTTTCATTCATACATTGTTTTCTGAGTTGCACTAATCTTTTGTGCGTATATATATATATATATATATATATATATATATATATATATATATATATATATATATATATATATATATATATATATATATATATATATATATATATATATATATATGTCATAAAATATTTTACAACCTTTACAGATTCTGCATCTTGGGAAACACTGAATAATTTTTCAATGTTTCCCATCTGTGGAAACAGATTTCCACAAAATCTGTTTTGTGGAACAGAATTTTCATATATGGCACAAAAATTTTCTTTTCACTCATTGTTAGTGGGCAGGGTGTGAGGTTTACTGTCAAACAGCTGTAAATCCTAAACTCAACAGAAACAACTCAAATGAAAAGTTAACACAACTCAATTCCTAACACCATGTTTCCCTCCTTTAACATCAGTGACTGCTTGGAATCTGTTGTAGTAGATTCCCCGAAACCATCACTCTGGTGTTGAAAGTGCCTGTTCTTCTTTGCAAAAAGCCTCCAGCTCCAGTAAATTCCTGGGCTGTATAGCATAAGCTGAATGACTGAGCTTTCCCCAGAGTGGCTCAATGACAGTGAAGTCATTAAACAGAGATGGCCACAGCAGAACCTACACTTTGTTCTGCTGCAGCCAATGGCAGCTCGACTTGGCCTTGTGCTATTAAAGAATGACACTGAAAGTGATAACAGACATTTTTTTAATCCAGATTGTCAGTAAGATACTTTAAAAAACAAACATTTTAAACAATTTCACCTTGAAAGAAAATCTCATTTTGCATCCAACTGAAGCTAATTTTGTATTTGCATTGCTTAATTAAATTATCTTCCCTTTCCTGAAGGCATGGATAAACGACTGATCCTCAGTTTTTTGTTGGTGACACTATCCTTGGAATTTATGGCCACCTCTGCTCAAAGCAACGCAACCACAGTGGCACCATCCAGCAACGCAACTACAGTGGCACCATCCAGCAACGCAACCACAGTGGTACCATCCAGCAACGCAACTACAGTGGCACCAGCCAACAACGCAACTACAGTAGCACCAGCCAACAACGCAACTACAGTGGCACCAGCCAGCAACGCAACTACAGTGGCAGCCAGCAACGCAACTACAGTGGCAGCCAGCAACGCAACCACAGTGGCAGCCAGCAACGCAACTACAGTGGCACCAAACACTCTCCCGGCAGTGGTGAGAAATAGAAATAACTTCCTTGAAAAAAATAAAGCGATCACATATGAGGCTCATTGTAAGGTTATTACAGTGCAATACTTAAAATTCATGTTGTCACCTTTGTAGGCCACTATTTCTCGTCAAGAATGCGGCTCCTCAAAGCTCTGTGCAGCTGAACCCTCAGAGTGCAGTCCCGCTTCTGGAAGCTGCTATTTCCTTTCTGCCAAGCAACAAAGTGGCCAAAATTACAGCTTTGAGCTCTCAGGACAGTCAGACGGCTACATTGCTGCTGGTGTGTCAAGTACTGCATCTCAGGTAGTGCACATTTTATGATTTTCTATTAAAATGTTATGAAATCTGAGACACAGCACTATTATAGTTTGAAAGACGGAAAATAAAACAATGTCATGTTTTTCAACAGACTGCCCGTCACAGAGCCTACATCTGCGCCAACAACAACGGTGCTGTCCGTTTCTTCACCGGCTTCATCAATAATCTGGTTCTAAATCTGACAGAGGTGAGCAAAGCTTTTGTAGCACTAGTAGATGTGTGGATATATTCATCAATTTGTGCAACACAATGTTCGCATGGACATCATTGTTTCACTTTCAGTTAATTAAACTGTTTCTCTCTTCAGTCGCTGGACTCAAGCAATCAGCGGGGATCAATCAACTCAGGCAAAATCCAGTGTACATTTTCAGCCGTTCTTCCTGACACGACGACACGAGCAGCAGGCTACTCCCTGTCCGTTACAACTGGGCCTTACGATTCCAGTAAGGAATCACTCTCAGCACTCAAACAATCTTCCTGTCGCTCAGAGAGAATTTGATGATTCATTGGTATTAAAGTTGGACGTCTTCTTGCACGTTGTCTTAGGTTCTGGGCAACCAGGAACAGCAAGCTTCAGAATACTAACGCCTGTCGTGAACCTCTCCGACCCTACAGCCAACGTCAGCAATTTGCTGAGCAACAGCACTTCGTCTGCTTACCCGGTCACACACACACACTCGTTCTTGCCAGGTAAGCTAATGGCAGTGGAAAGCAGGGCTTAGATGTGTCAGACGACACGTCAAAGTAAGGTTGTTGATGTTTCATATGGGACTTCTAAAAGTTATTTGGTATGCAGAGGTTCAGCCAGATGCCTGACTTAAATCAATCAGAGAAACAAAGACAGAGCTAAAGATTAGGGTGATGAGGAAGCGGCTCTCCACCTGTGGTACCATGCAAAAATATGGTCACCTCCAGGTGACTTACCTATTGTTTTGTATAAACTAGGCAGATTGATTTGTTTTGTCATAACTCTTAAAATAATTAGTTCTGTTTCACTTATGATTTGATAAAAAGTGAACTGAAATTAAAATAGACATTAATGAATATGTCGTAGAGTGTTCGAAGGCTTTGCGCAGCACACCCCCCCCCCCACACACACACACACACATATATATATATATTTTTGTAGTTTTCTAAACCTGTTAGCTAACAATGTAAAAAATATCCCCCAAAAATTAATCTCTTTGTTCTTTTGTCTTCTCTATAGTCCTGCTGGTCACTGTGTCAATGCTGGCTTTCACAACAGCATGAAGCAACTGACCTCCACCACGACACAAGAGAACGAAAACAGACTTTTTTTTTCAAGAGGCCTGAAGCAAGTCGCCATGATTTTCACCAGCTTACCTCATCATGCATAGCAGCATTTGGGTTGAAAGGTCTGGCTGCCTTTGAAGCCCATTTTACTGGTGCATGTTGAACACTTCCAATCTGATTCCTTCTGATTTTATGTGATTTTATTCTTTGTTGTAATTGTTGTGTCATTCCTGAACTATGAAGCCTTTACTGGCTAATGTGAATGGGTTTGTTGATAAAAACAAATGCTAATTGTGGTACCAACTGTTGGTGGAAGGTAATTTAAACATTTGCACAAATAAATAAAAATTCCTAATGGCAAATATATTTTAAAATAAAAATACTTGCTAAACCTGTTTGCAACAAAATGTAAATAAATATTTCTTTCTCCAGGAACCACTTGGTCCAACAGTTTTATTCTGTTTTGAACTCTGCATTTCTTCGAACAGTTTCCACTTCTGTTGAATTTTTACATGCTATCCGGGACAACGGGACAGATTTAAACTTGGCCTGGGATATCATCCCATCCATGTTATCTTACAGGCGTCTCTTAGGAGTGAATTAAATTACTAGACGATGCACTTGCCCTTTAACCCTTGGACGCTGATCCATCCAAACAATTCAGTCAGTTTATCAGTCCTCTTTTTTTTCAGGACTAAGTGAAACTCAGTATAGATTAATTGACATTTCTAAGCCTTTTTTTTGTTTGTTAATTATTGTAATATTACATCTATTACAAATAAAATATTTAAGATAAGAATATTACACCAGATGAACAAAACAACATTGCTTAACACATTAATACAGACTTAAGCAAAATTATTTATAAATCTCTGCTCAAAGCTTATTTTCAAGAAGTACTTTCAAAATGACCAACATGTGTATCCAAATCATGTACTTTAAATTTTTGAATATGGCTGTCTATATTTAATTATGTCAGTTAATATGTGTCCATGTTCAAAAGAAATTGTCATTTAATTTCATCTAACATAACGTACAAAACTCTTATTTCACTATTATTTCAAGCAGTGATCAGCTACGGTTTTCTCCTTTTCTTTGCCCCGATTCTCAGCTTCAGTCTGGCGATAAATTACACAGGCAGTTTGCCTGTGTTAGCATTAGCCACGTTAGCCTACAGTCCCTTTACTAGACTGAGGAGTAATGGAAGGAGACACACTGGTTTCCTTGCTTCACTATTTAGTAATTGAAAGAACCTGATTAACACTTTTATTGTGTTAATTTGCCAAGCAACAGTACTTAGTATTGCGTGGTTCGCAACTTGAAACCATAATTTTTTAACTGAATAAAAAAAGTGGAAGCATCCGTTGTGGGAAACGCATGTCACATAAGGAAGTATTTGTTTTGAGTTATGCCTAAAATAAATGAACCGCATTGCCTCCAATTAACTCAGACGGTGTCTAATGAAGCCATGGCATCAGGATTGTTTACAGGACTAGTAATCTTATAGCGCATTCCTGATTTTAAAGAAATCTGGTTAAAGTCAGAATGTTTTATAAAGTCTCTGTTGTGATTAGTTTCACAATTCCCTACGCAACCTTCTCTCCACGGCAATGTCGTAAACTGTCGTAGGAACACCTGACTACAGAACTGCATTTGAAACAGTCTAACTACAGAACACATAATGGTATGTTAAATCATAAAAAGCACATTGGACATGCATTGACTGGTTTCTGACCATTGACACTGTCAATGGACGCTGTGTCCAGAACATTGTCTGGACACTATTCTGTTTTCCAAGCTCTCCTGTACATGTGTCTTACGTCTAAGTGTGCAGATAGTCCATCCAGTCTCTATCAAATATTGATTTGGATACAGACAAATATTTAAGTAAGTTTTAAATTAACAGTAAATATTCATAATATCCTGGAGGAAGTTTGGGTGAATTAAAAACTCTCAAAGTCATGTTCTCATTTCTAAGTGTATAAAAATTTTCCCTCAGGAATGATTCTGTCTATTTTGTATTTTCCGCAGGCATGTATAAAAGACTTACCTGCTGTGTTCTGTTGGTGATGCTGTCTGGGAGATTCGGGGGCACTTATGCTGAAACCAATGTGACAACAGCACAAAACACAACGACACATCCCACCAATATGTCAATAACCTCAGCCAACAGCACGATGACAACACCAATGATGAATGTATCAATGACAGCATCAACACAATTGGTCCCAAACAACACAGTGGTAACCCTTGAGGTAAGTGAAAAAGATAAGAAAAAAACAGTCCAAAAGAATAGAGTGGACCATTGTAGATATTTTTGTTAATGGTTGAACTGTAACTCATTCTATCCACTGTGATGGCTCTAATGTCTTTTACAGAGCAACATCACTAAAGCTGAGTGTGGATCCAAGCAGCTGTGTGTATCTGAGCCCTCTAATTGCGAACCCTCTGTACCAGGATCTTGCTTCTTCCTCGCTGCCAACCTGCAAAATGATGGAAACTTTAACTTCGGTCTCTCAGGAGAATCAGACGGATACATTGCAGCAACTCTGACAGGTGGCGTTGGAGAGGTAATTTAACGTCATCAACTCACTGGAAGATAAAAGGACTAAAGCTATACTTTGTATTTCTGTAAATTTGGTTCTGACCCAACTTTACCCAATTTCCTCCTGCAGGGAGATCCCACTTATGTTTGTGCAAATAGCAAGGGTAAAGTCAAGTTCTTTAGTACGATCCTCACCAATGGTGTTCTGAACATTTCAACGGTGAGTTTTACAGTTAACTCACAAGGTCATGTTGATAACAAACCATCAAAGGTCAATTTCAGTTATGTAACATGTTTAATAGCTTTTTGGCTTCTTTTGTCTGCAAAATCACGTCTGCTTAACGTTCTAAAACTTCTGCTGTACTTTCTGCTCCACAGCTCAATGTGACCTCAGTGAAGGGCAAAATCAATGGCAGAACAATTCAGTGCAGTTTCGTTGCCACAGTTCCACAACCAAGAGCTCGAGTAACCCTTGGCCTTGCAGTTTCCACAGGAGCGTATAATGACAGTAAGCTACCATCTCACAGTGACTTCGCAAGAAAATGCAACACTTTAACAAGAGCAGAAAATGACTGCATTTAATTAAAAACGATGTGCTTTCTCTAATTTCAGCTAATGAGAGCCTGGGTCTTCCCAAAACTGTTATAAGGGTCACCTCGGTAGATCTGGCAAACTCTACTCTCAATGTAACCAACGAGATTACCAGCACAACAACCCCACCACCAACCGGAAACAATGCAACCACAGGGGTTAGCATCCCCCAACTTTCGGTAAGGGAGGCACGTGTACAATTATTGCCAAATGGAAAAGAGAACTGTTGAGAAAAAGAAAGAAAAGCTCAGTTTCCGCAAGCATACACAGAAATATACTAGAATTGACAGTGGCTTCTAAAACGGTGAACTTGTCCCAAAACATGGCAATTGCCCCTTCCATACCGAACATGTCCTGTGTTCTTACATCCAAGTATTTTGGTTTCAGACCTGGCCTGGCATTCATATTTTCTCCCCCAGGGGTTCAAGGTTTCATCCTAGCACACCTTCCATTGAAGCTAAACTTAATGTTGTTTCTTTCTAATTGTACAAGCCTATGCATTCTTGTCAGCAGTTGCACGAGGCTTTTCAGGGTTTCCCCCAGGGTATTGTAAGCCTGGCGGGCCACCGGGTTTTACAGCAACTCTGACAGATGCTGTAAAACCTGTGCAGGCTAAGCATTAGCTTATCTATTTAAAATGTTAGCATTATTTAAGACTTTATTATTGGTGTTCAGGTATTAATCATCCAAACTTTCAATAACACATAATTATCAAGTTCATTTGTGGGTTTTTTTTTTTTCAAATTTTCTGTCAACTTTAAAAAAAATTTAACTTAAAAACACGACGGGCCTCTGGATGAACGACTGCCCTGGCACCAAATCAACCGGCCTTAGCAAGTTTTCTGTGGGGAAACTTCGCTATTATAGGATCTGTGAGAACATTTTAAGATTCTTGAGACATCCTAAACTTGTCCATTTTGAGGACTAAATTGCATTTTAAATTCCCTGCAATTGAAGACAACAGTACCAAACACCAGAAATAGTTAAATATCTATATCTTTAAGGATAATGGGAGACATATCTCCCTATAGAGAAAAGCAAAGGTTTACACAGTGTCGTAATGTTTCCCCCCATATAACTTTAAGAATAATGCAGCTTTCCTCTTTCATGGTGGTTTGTCTTGAAGTACAAGATTTTAATTATTTGCCTTCCCTGTTGCAGACAAATATAACCCGGCAATCATGTGGCTCCACAAAGCTCTGTGCAGCCGAACCCAAAGAGTGCAATCCCGCTGTGGGAGGTAGCTGCTATTTCCTTTCTGTCAAGCAACAAAATGGCCAAACATACAACTTTGAGCTCTCAGGACAGTCAGACGGCTATGTTGCTGCTGGACTCTCAACTGGTGTAACTCAGGTATTTCATATGTAAATGTATAGATTTGAACGTTTTCAGACTGACGGGCAGTGTGGTCTAAATCGATGAAACTGATCACGTTTCTTATATCCGCAGAATGGCACTCACACAGCTTACATTTGCGCAAACAACAATGGCAACGTCACATTCTTCACCGGCACCATTGAAAACCTGGAGATAAAACTCAAAGTAAGTTAAGCTTACACTGGAATGGTAAATGGGTGGGCGTCCACTGTTTAGCCCACGTTCTCCCTGAACATTGAAATAATCAATCGGTTTCTCTCTTCAGTCGCAGAACTCGAGCAATGAGCAGGGCACAGTCGACGGCAGCAAAATCCAGTGCAGGTTTACAGCTGATCTACCAGACACAACTGTCCGAGCAGCAGATTATGCTTTGTCAGTTTCAACTGGAACTTTTGACGCCGGTAAGTTGTCACTTTAAGGTCTCATGATTTGTTATCTAGAGCTAACGAGAAGAAAAACCCATAATTTATACTCAAATTAATGTTACTTTATTTTCCTTTTCCTGTCAGCTAATTCAGGGCTGGGAAAAGCAAATTTCCGAATATTGACAAATCGTGTAAACTTGTCGGATCCGACCGCTACCATCATCAACCTGCTGAACAATGCTCCCAATTACGCTCCTTCTTTCTTGCCTGGTAAGCTAAACAAGATTTTTATTGAGTTTTTTTTGTTTTTGTTTTTGATTTTTTAAAATTATTATTATTATTTAAAGTAATTTATTTGCCTTGTTTTCTCCTCCCCTCCCTTGTAGCTCTGCTGGTCACCGTGTGTATGCTGGCGTTCACAGCAATGTGAAGAAACCAACGTTCATACATTTTCTAGTGACTTGTGATTTCTGCAGCTAAAGAAAAATGACTAGATTTGACCGTTTTATGTTTATTTAAAATTTAAAGTTCTTACTTGAGTGCAAGACTTTAGATCACTGGAGTATGACTATACTTTTAAAGAGTTTCAAGAAAAGTAATGATGTTTTTTTTCTCTTAATCAGTATAAGCCAACTTTGATTTGATTTGATTTTGATTTATGTAACAGGCCTGGGGTTTTGAGGTCTGGCTACATTGCAAAGCCTTGTGGTTTATGTCAAAAAGGTGTTTTATTTCTTTTTTAATTATTGTTTCATTGAAAAAAAGCTGTTGCAAACTGTTTTCCAACATGTATTCTTGCAGCATTGCTGAAACCGATGCCATCAAAGTACGGTGTTTGTTGTGATGATATATGTTATGTTATTAAGGACATACAGGTGTTTAAACTATGAAGCCTTCACTGGCTGATGTAGGCTCGTTACGTGTAAAACAAACACAGCATCATATTCCATAAATCGGTGAGTTCATAATTTAGACCCATGCTAAGATTACCAGACTTTTTTATTTCTTCCGTAGTTGAATAAATATATTTTCATCCAAACTGTCTTGTCTTTTTTTGTTTGTTTGTTTGTTTCTGCAAATTTTGGATTTTAAAAGACGAGACAAAAGTCCTAGACCTCTTTTGGCCAACAGTAAAATGAAGTCTACTGGACTATCAGTAGAGAAAACACCCTTATGTTTCCTCATGTTTCTCAAAAAAACTTAAGAAGATTAGCTGACATCTTCATTGCCATTTTCAGTTATGCATTAGCAATTATTGATTTGCTTATTTTTTAAGTCATGCAGCTCTAATTTATGGGTTTTTGTGTACAGCTACTGATTCACTGAACATGAATGATACACCGCAGACCAAAGCAAAAGAAAGCGGCATTATGTGTGCGACTGACCTGCAGTAAACTTTTCCAGTCACTCATGTGAAAGTTACTAAGGGCAAAGACAAATCCACAAAGTCCACATCTTTGACAAAAACTGATCAGTGGTAGGTTTTCCTCTGGTTTGTTTATTTGTCTACAAATGTCTCACAATAACTAACTCTTTAGTTATTGTGTGCAAGTAATTCAGTAATTATTCTTTAATTGCGGCTCTGTCACACCGCTTCAGTGGCACTTCGGCCTCTCTTTAGTTTATCTTGTTTGTAGCCTGTAATTATCACCTGTCAACTGAAGTGACTTAGCAAGAAAAGCCTCTTTCAAAAGTGAATAATTACACATAACTGAGGCCAACCAAAAGGAAACAAAGTTCTTTCTGTAAGTCTGGGAAGACTTGCCTGTTCAACTGGTTGCTCCGGCCTGAGCTGTTAGTATGAATCTGCGGGAGATGAATGTGAAAGAGAGGGTGTTGTTATGTGATCCGGGGAAGAAGGCCGCGAAAGTGACTGAGGAGTGTGCACAGTACCACAGCAGCCATTGCCTGTTACTGGTGCAAAGTTAGCACTTTTCCAGTCGTCCACGGAACCAGAATTTGTATTTTAACATGTAAGATGACTGGTCTGCCTCCAGGATGCGTTTGGAAAGCATCGGCAGCGTGTCACTTTCTTCCACATTTCATCCTGTTACGAAATATAATCCATTCGTTTCTTCAAGATTTGACACACAATGCCTTGTGATGACATAGCAAAAGAAGCTATTTTCTCTTTTTAGGCCTTATTTGTGGCTATGTATTGGTAAAGCAGCTTTGGCGGCAAGGTCCCCTTGTGTATGTGACTCTCAACCTGGGGTATTTTCTCCAGGTTTTCCGTACGTGGAATGCCTCAGCACCAGCATCTTCTGATTTGGTTCGCAACGTTTTGAAAGCAGTAAGACAAACCAGAGCCCAGGTGGAAGATGAAAGATCTGAGGTGTGACGGTTCGGCAGCAGTTCTTGGGACCACAGAGGGTGCCGAGGCCTGTTTGCTTAGAGGCAGACGATGAGGAGTCTGAGCTGAATTGAACCTCCAGTAGATGTTTCAGTCACTCCAGTTGAACTGTTTTTGCTAGAAATTACATAGCTCCACATATATTTGGACAATTTATCCTTGCGCGTATGAGGTTGGAGGCAACGAAGTCAATCCCTCAGCACTCCACCTCATCGAATTTTCAAATATGAAATATTGACATTTTCCAGTTTGTACAACCAAACAATTGTGAGCAACATTCCCCATAAGCCATTCCACGCACAGAAGTTGTTCTTTCTGTTTCCCCCACAAGCAGTTCCTCCACTGTGGCCTCGGTCTCAGACACCTGCTGGAAAAGGCGCATTGTCCTCGTTTTCGAAATCAATCAGCTTCCCTGTCTGCAGTTATTGTTGTAGGATCAGACTGCAGGATATGAGTCACGGCTGATCGACCTTATGACACTGGGTGGAAAGTTATCGGAAAGTGAACGACTAACAAGGCCCGGAGTAGACTGAACTCTCTCGCTGGTTTGATTTTGAGCTAAACGCAAAATCAAACCAGATGTTCTTTAATACAACGAGAGAGTTCAGTCTACCCCAGGCCTTGTTAGTCTGCTGATCAGTTTTCTCCCTAATTCTCTAATCTGTTTACAGGCAAAATGCAGCTCATTCATTATAAAACCCAACACACTTTGTGCGAGAAATGTAAAAGATGAAGGATAACCCAAAAGGTAAACTAAAGGCAACAATTCATAAACAATGTCAATCTCAACAATTTCTACTTGTAGTTTATCTCTGACACGTTATATTTTACTTATCAGCACAAGTGTCACAACGGGAGGCGGACAATGAGGAGGAGGCACTGCGAGAGTGACGATGCGCGACTGCCGAAAACGGAACAAAACGTTGCTCTGGGTGCGGCGCAACCATGAGTCTTTGACAAGCGATTAATAAAGATGACCGTTGCAGGAGTGACTCGAGTGTTGCATAAATCGGGACGGTGAGCTCCCAGAGACCGAGGGCGTGGCTCAGTAACGACTTAACCTGGTCCTACTCGTCCTTCAGGCCCGATTTCTTTTCAGCGGGTGTGGCCAGAGTCAAGTTATTATCCACATCCAAGCTAAACAGGGACAAAAACAGCAACAAAATAAATAAATAATACGGAGACAAAGAGTAAGAATTATATTAAGAAGAAGAATTATTTGTTGTGAATACAAGTAAGAGTCAAATGACACCATCTAGCCGGTCAATTTCACATTGTATTTGGATTCTCCAGACTGTAATTAAACTCTTTTCTTGGATTAGCGTAATAATCCGTATGACACACTTGTTTGATTTCAATCAACGTTATGAATATGTCAAACGTGTATGTTGTTAATCACAAGAAGAGTTTTGAAGGAGTTGAACACAGGAGGAAAAATACTATTTGAATGGAACGGCTTGTTTACTTTAAAAGGAGGGAAAGTGAAATTAAAAGTGGATACTTTCAAAAACCTAACATCAGTAAATTAACAGCATTGTTTAAACATTAGCTTGCAAAAGTATTTGCTACTTTTGAACAGTGTATTATTTTTGCTTTTTCACCTTGTTATGAAACAACCAGCACATTTTAATTTGAATATGACAGAAAATCGGAGTCATTGACACGGAAGGAAAAGGATGCTATGGTTTTTTTTCTGTATGTCTTTTAAATAAGAAAAAATAGCACAAAAATCAGTTTCATATTCGGATCCACTCAGCCACATTTCACTTATACCACGACCACAAATATTTTTAGGGAGTGCCAATGAAAGAACAGAAACACCCCACAGCCTTATGCTGCCTCCTTTGTGCTCTACCCGATGATACATACATGAAGCATGTGACCACACAGCTTCAGTTTTGGTTTGACTATGTACCACAGGCCATTGTTGTAACGTCACCAACAGAGGAAGCCTTCAGGTGGTCCACATTCTGTCGCAAAACAATAGCAAAAATGCAAAACAGCATCGCTCTAATCTACCCATTGAACTTAAAATAAACGTTGTGTTCATGTTGCAACCCATATCTTTGGGCCTCCCACAATGGCTTTTAAAAACTGAGACTAAAAATAATTTTAAAAAAGATTTTTAAGAATTCACAGAGGTTTTTAAAATAGACATGAAAAAAATTCAAGCTTTAGCAATCTTTCAGTTTTGTCTTTTTTCATGAATTCTATTTAATTTCCACAACAGTGACACTTAAAATACCACCCATTTTTATTTAAATCTACTTTTCATGTTACATGAGTGGAAACTAGGTGCAAATGTCCCATAAAAGAAAATGTAGCCATTATTTTTTTGAGAAAGGTGTATGTTTTTTTATTTTTTATTTTAAAGCCTAAATATGCAAGTGAAACAGTTGTCCAGATGATCTGCAGGAGATATTTATCGAAAATCATAAGTCGTCCTTTTTGGTTTTTTAATGTTGTGGGATATTCGTGGCTCAAGAGGCTTTATTTAGCTGGATCGAGGACAAATTGGCTTTTTTGGTCTGTAAAGGCCGCAGACCATGCTCTGGATTTGTGGACAAATTCAAAACGTTCACTTTCACAATCCATAGTTTCCATAGTTTTGAATTTCATTCAGCATTTTGTAAATTTTATAATTATAACTGCCACGAGTTCCAACACATATTTGCAAGTTTTAATTTATTTAATTCAGTGGATGGATATTAGGCTGTCATTGTTCCTGGGATTTCCTGGTGATTGACATTCAGCTCGCCAGACACTAGAGGGCGTTGTCTGTCTTTCAAAAAGAAGGAGATAAACTTGAAACGTTTCCCCCTTTCAGGAGCCAAAGCACAAAGTTGATTAATTAAAGATCAAGTTACTGATGAACCAAAAGAGAGGCTCATTTCAGAGCTACACATTTGTTATGATGCACATTCTCACTGAAAACTCTTCTACTGTCTAAAAAAGTTTAAACTTTCTGTAAACATAAATCTTAATATCACCTAGATAACGATGTGTTTGCTGTCTTGATTATCCTCAGAGCTCAGATTAAGAGGTTAACTCATCCAACCTGTAAAGGCTAGTTTAGATAACTTGTTTAAAAGGCTAGTCGGTAATTATTAGCGTCATATAACGTTTATTCATCTCTCAGGGAGTGGTGAGGACTGAATAAATAATGTCTGCAGTGTACCAAATGCTGCGTTTGCTGCTTTGTATGGTTTTGACTGGTATAGGGGAAAGTGGTGAACACTTTCCGTTAAAGGTCTTCCCCGCGGTCTCCCACCAGTGGGGTGTGCCAGAAAAAAAGTTAGAAGTATCTTAACGTTTGTAGGCTTTACACTTTTTAATTTTGGGTTGTTTACACATCCAGGACGCTGTTGGTTTGGCCATGGGCCTTGGATGGATGGTTGCATTTGTTCTCTACTCCAGCCTGAACGAATTTAGGATGAGAACCGTGGCCATGTCAATGACAAGCGCTACGAACACATCACATTTTCAAATATTGTTTTTAAGCAGCCACAACAATGATATCACACTCAGCCAATTTATTTCTCCATTGACAAAAAGCTCAATAATGAGACCATGTCTCATTATTAAGTTGTTACTTTAATGACTTCATAGCAAAAACCAGTAACTTATACATACTTTAACGTTCGGGATATATAAACGTAAACAAGAAAAACTGGAAAAATACTTTGTGCAACCCTTCAAAACCTGTTTTAGATTGATTTTTTAAATAATTTTATCAGTGCTGTGTTTTGCTATGAAGTCCAGAGCAGGACACAAATGCGATCAATTAAAGTGTATTAATCAGTACAAATGTCATCAATTAAATTATATTATCAGTGATGACCAAGGGGGATGAGGGACTTATTTTTTTTTTATAACAGGACAGGTTGGTGTTACTATAAAACAGGATTAATTATGTTTGTACTGTTTTCAGTTGCCCATTCGGGACCTGAATAAAGCTGAATCTGAATCAACATTAGTGTGAACAGTGGAAACAATACTTGTCTAACATTACATTTCGGAGGCGCTCGTCAGAGGAAGGGGAACCCAGTTCAGAACAGTTCGTGCTGAAACGGTTTGCAATGGTGCTCTTTGCAACATTTACAGCCTGCTAAAATTATCCGAGAGCTTTAAAATATCTCGTACGTAACCTGAAGTCTATCTGCTTTCTGCAGATGTTTCACCCCTCTGCTTAACTGAGTGAGAACAATGGGCTCACTGTTTAACTATGACTGAGTAATGAGTTTGAGTTTTCTCTCTCTCTCTCTCGCTGCTAAAGCGTAAAACATCTTTAGGTGTTGAAATAAACCCAGAAGCCGGTTGGTCTGAGTCCGTTTGAACAGAGGTGGTGGCTTTGGATGTTGCTGAACACAAACAGAGCTCTAAAGGGAATCCGTGGTTTGACATGGGCCCCTCGTGGTCTCCTGGGTGCATGTGTGGGTCAAACATCTGAGACCGTGCAGACTCAGCTACTTTACCCATTGGTAGGTCTCCTATTTAGAAAAACAACTCTGACAAAAGCTCTGGAGCTACATGGATGTTTGCCATTATCCACACATCAATGCTTTATAGTGGAGAGGTTTATAGATCACTCATATTGTTTCGCAGAAGCTTCAGTGAGTTGGTATAAAGGAAGTATCACGAAGGACCTGAAACCGATATAACACTTTGTTGAAAAGAGTAAGCTAACCTAAATATAAAAAGATTTGACCAGAGTTATAAACTATTCAATGTCCACCGAGGGGATAGATACTGCAGATCGGTGGTTTTGGATATGGCCCCATGTGGGCAGTTGCCCAGGGAGGCATTAGAAGGGGAAACATATGGTTTATATAAAAATAGAATTGATTTATCTGCCACTATTCCTCACAAAAAGTGTTGTTATTCTGCAGCTTCTTTGAGTCGGATGTGTCTGGGCTGAACCTTTAGCTACAGCTTACCAGAAACACTGATGGCGTTACAGCGTAGCTCAAGAGTTCGAGGTAAAAGAACAGTGTGCTCTTCGACTCTGCTCAGCTATCAAGACAGAAACACTGAATTATTCTTTTAATATTACAACTATTATTATTATTATTATTATTATTATGTCCACCACTAGTGTAGAACATGTCTAATTGTAAAAATTGAAATTGTAACAAACGGTGCTCTTTGAAGTTTAACAAATAAAAATCATAAAAGGAGTTTCTCAATTACAAGGAAACATTGACCTTTAATTGAAGTAACACTTCTAAAGACTGAAACTACTGTCTATTCATCCATCCATCCGTACACCGATACATTCACCCGTCTTCCATTTATCTGAGATCGCATCACAGAGACAACAGTTTCAGAAGGGAAGCCCAAACGTTCCTCTCCGCAGCGCCATCTTCCAGCTTATTCCGGAGACATTCCTGCACAAGACAAGATCTATGGTCCCCCAGCAGGTTTTGGGTCTTCCTCAGGGTGTCCTCCCATTGGGACGGGCCCAGAAAACCACCAATGGACATCCTGATCAGCTATCCGAACCAACTAGTGGTTCTACTTTTGAGTTGCTCCCAGATGACAAACTGTAGCTCCACCCCTCATCTCTAAGGGTGAGTCAAGTCCCCATCTGGAGGAAAGTCATTTCAGCCACTTCTTTCAGCCACTTGTGAACAAGACACTTCAACTCCTCCGCTTGTTGCACATTATTTTTCATAACATAGATGATGATGAGTCAGACTGGGCCGGATAGAGTCGGTGAAAATAAATTTTCTGGCCGAACTGTTGAACTGTGAGCTGTCTGAAATAGCAAAATTCTAAGTTTGTGTGCTTTAAATCTACTTATCACAGATGAAAATAAGACAAAGCTAATAAAACATTCTCGTTATAGAGCCGCCTTTCTCTCCATTACAGCCGCAGGGCGTTTGGAGAATATTTCTGCACGCTTTGCTTCTTACTGGACCCAACAACCTGGAAGGTTCCCAAAGTTTATTATGGAATGACTTTTTCATGAATAAGAAGTCAGTGCTTTATCTTATCTCTGCAACAAAATTCTAAGGAGACAAACAGTGACTACTAAACAACGAGCAGCAGGTACTTTGCTTTCGCTCCATTGACTCAGACCGAGACTCTCTGGAGCATGAAGAGTGATTGTCAGCTCGTAGAGGAAATTTGGCAGTTGATTATCGCAAAGGAGGAGTAGAGGTAACGGTGAGGGGAAAAACTGACGAGAAAGAAAATGATGGCAAGTCAAGTTTTGGCAATAGTGGTGAAGGGTTGCTGCCAGGGCTGATTAGAGAGGAAGAAGCAGGCAGAAAGACAAAATCCACCACTTCCAAGTGGGATGGAAACAGACGGCCACCGGATACATGAACTCGATTGAGCAGAGGCTCATAGACTGAGTTGATGAAACAAACAAACGAGGGAAGAAAAAAAAACCACACACTTGACATATGAACTTGACAGTGCTGGAACTCCGACACCAAAAGCCACAAACAATCTGGGAGGAAGAAAAGGGAGCATGTGAAGCTGAGTCAGCGCACTCAAGCAACCATCAAATCAGAAACAGAACCGTGGACTGCAACAAGTTGCGCATATAAGCATAAACTCAGAGCGACACATGATTAAATTGGGACAATTCCTCTTTTATCCACGACTTCAAACCCTCTTTCACTCCACTCTAAGCTTTTTATGAAAATAATTGTTAAATAATTACGGGACCATGGAGGCAAAACCTGGAACTGCTCCTACATACTCAGGCGCAGTGTGTATACACATTCTCTGGACCTCCTCACTGTCGGCGGACGGTTGAGATTTCATAACTGATCGTCTGCATTTCTCATGACAATTTTCTTGATTTTCCAAAACTCAAAATGGATACTAGAAAATCCGATGAGCTAATTGGCCTCCCAGCCTAATATTTCTCCACCATTGTGGCCTCCGCACACCTTTTAGCATCTGCCTACATCCCCCAGAATGCTGTGGAGTTCAGTGAAATTAATCAACATTGTATCAGGTCAGGGATGTGCACTGACAGACTCTAGGGGGAGCTGAATGCCTGGACTTTTTGCTCTAAAAAAAAAAAGAAAGAAAAAAAGCAAAAACAAAAAGAAACTTTCCCTTTTAAATCTTTTATTTTGTTTTGTTTGTTTTTACCACATTCTTTCAGTTTATTGGCGTTTGCAGACATGCATTTAAAACACATTTTAAAAGTGTTTTAAATGCACATTTAACACAAGTTTAGGACCGGAATTTGACTGGGCCCTTGGAACATCTAATCTTCCTTTCAAGACAACAACTGAGACGACTGAAAGGCAAGAAGCGAGTTTGAAAAGAAAAAAATGAATTTCAACAAATGAGGTGTTGGACGTTTACAATGACGTGGAAAGTCGCAGTTCTCCTGAACCGCCAAAATTCCCATTTTTTAAAAAGTGTTAAACATGGCTATAGCTCTTGGTTTTCCTTTAGAGTGTATGTAGTATTTCCTGGGTATGACAGCTTACGTTAGAAGAAGGTTTGGTCGCGAAGTTTGGAGCTGGAGCATCAAAAAAAGTACGAATAAATGTGCAGAAATACGCTCCTTTTGAAACCTAATTACATCCTCCGGATACGGGGAAAGAGCACGCAATCACATCAACAGAGCGTGATGATAAAACACTGGAGGTTTCTTTTCTTTGGAGTCTCAGGCTGGGTGGGGTTTTCATTGTCTATTCATTAAAGTTAGTGAGGAGGGAGGGAAAAAAGTGGAAAGTTTGAGAGTGGAGACAGACTGTGGTGCTTCTGTTAGGTGAGAGGAGGCGGGGTGGGGGCAGAAGGGCTGGGAGGTGGTGTGGGGTGTAACCGCCGGGGCAGTCGGAGAGAAGAGGAGAGGGGAGGGGGAATTGAAAATGCAGCCTGGACATTCCCACTCTGGGAAATCCAGCGCAGACCGTGGAGGACAACAGAGACGAGGACATGTAACTTTTTTCTCTTCACATGCTGAAAACCTTTATTTATTTACATTTCCCACCCACTTTTTTTTTTGTCTTTTTAAAGAAGGGGAGGCATTTCAAGCTGGAAAAGCATCTGATGGAGGAGAGGCGATGAGAGGCGGATGATGAGCGAGAGGAGAAAGTTTGGTGGAGAATGCGGAGAGGAAGCGGAGCCAGAAAAAGGAGCTGAGGACTATGTAGGAATTCCTGACTGAAGTCATGGTAAGTCCCCGAGTTTTATGAGCGTCTCTGCGTGGAGACACGAGTTCCCCTTTGTTTTTTCTTGTTGTAGTCATGTAAAGTAATTACAACTGCCTTAAATATAGGGATTGAAATCTTCCACATTCACTCTAAAAATGACTCTAAAACACTCACTCTATTACAAAAATCTAATTAATTCAGATTTTTGCAATAAACCAGCACAAAACAGAAGGAAAAAAGGTAAAACAAAAGGCAAAACCACACATGTTTTTTTAAAATATAAATCTGAAAGGTGTGGCATGCATATATGAGTTCTCCACTAAGCAAAGTCCAGATTTGGGGAAATTTCTACTGCAATACGCTGAAGTTTTTAGCATTAACAGCGGGAAAGGTAAAAATCTTCCAACACCGTTTCTCCTTTTTTTTCAGCCGCATGTCAGGCAAGGGCTGCATTATTTAAGCAGATCCAACCCTGAGCTCACGGGACGACAAATTCCCACAGGCTGTAAATTATGACACGATTTCAGTCGCGTGACGTCGGAGACGTTTTGTGGCTTAACTCGCACAGGGGCGCAAACGAGCGCTCTCTGCTGCATCCACTGGGATCATGCTCACATTCCCCCCTCCACCCACTTAGACGGGTGATGGCAGAATCATGCATGCACATATGAAAAGAGAAGGAATCCGAGAGAGAGAGAGAAAAAAAGAGAAAGAGAGAAGCGACACAAGCACTGAGCTCTTGTTCAGGCTTCTGTATGCCGTGCTGGGTGGAGCCATTTGGCATGGAGATGGAAGAGAAACAAAATCAGAAAGAGAGGGAGGAGAGGGAAGAATAAAACCGGCAGGGCAGGGTTGCTTTTTCTTTTCTTTTTTTTAATTATTTTTGGAGTCTTGGACGGTTGCAACGGTGGTTTCGGTGATGCCGCATTTTCCACACTGGAGCAAAGAGAAATAGAGAGGGGCGGAGGGAAAGGGAACAAGGGATGGCATGGTCTGAGCAGAGGGAAGAACATGTGCTCCGTAGTTTATTCCCCCTCCATCGCTGCCCAGGACTGGAGAAACAGTCGCAGTTTGACCTCAAACGTCAATCTGTTTCCAGTTAAATGAAACCCGTTTCAGAGCTACAAAAGTTAAGGTCAAATTAAAAAAAAAATAAAAAATTTAAATAAAATTTTTAAAAAAAGAAGATGAATATATCTACAGTATCTACAGTAGGGATGTTGGTTTCGTTTTCTTTTTTTTAAAAATGGTTTCATTTCTACTTTAAGGTTTTAAAATAAAGAAAAGCGCAAAACTTTGAAGTTTTCCAATCTAAAGACAAGAAAAAGAATCATCTGTTGTGAAAATTCAAAGTGACAATCGAGGAGTTAATACTGAAACTCAGCATTTCCTGTTATATAAGTATTTCAAAGCATTAGTTGGCTCGGTGTCATTTTTATTTAAAGGTTTTAAGAGTCCCTGTGATAGATCATAAAAAAAGAGAGAGCAGTGAATAACTGCAAGTCAGAATGTTAAGAAATAAAATAAAAATCTGAAAGGTGTGGCAGGCATTTACCTCATACCGCCACTGACCCCCGAGAGCCACCTTGTTAGTACATGGAGCTCCACTTTTTAAATGCTTTTGCTCCGTCAAGACATCAGGGGTCCGCCAGGTAACGGTGCCTCTGGAGGAGCTGCAGAGAGCCAGAGCTCAGGTGGGATAATCTGCTGACAGGACAAATAAGACAAATGCAAGCCGTTCGCTCCTCAGATTTACGGAAGCTGAAAGAAAGTCATTAGAAATCCCGCTTAAAGTTCACTTTTGGAAACAGAAAATGAAGAAGAAAGCGCACCCTGCTCTTATGATGAAACATGGCAATGGCTGCATTATGCTTTGGGGATGCTTCTTTTACCCAGCAGGTCAGAGGTCATCTGAAAGTGGATGAAGGAGAACTGTGAGGGAAAAAATGACAACAACCCCTATACATGCAGCCAGAGATAGAACGAAATTGTTTAGATCAAATTATGTGCATATGTCAGAGTGGCCTAGTCAAAGCCCAGACGTAAATTCAATTAAAAAATTGTGGCGAGACATTCAAAGGTCGTTTTCATCCAAATTGACTGAGCTCGAACTATAATGCCAAGTCCGACGGTGTGAAGACAACACAGATATTCTCTGGTGGAGATATTTCCTGGAAGCGTATCAGCTGGAAATATGACCACGTTGCTTCTGACTCCAAGTTTCTGAGCAAAAACCCCACGTCTCACTTTTCACATTGTAAGAACCACACATGCTTTTCCAGCAATCAGCCAATGGTGTACCAATTTGTCTTGGTCTAACGTACAAGTCGCAACGTCACAAAACGTGAAAGGACTCCCAGAGTGGCAATACTTTTACGTGGCACTATACATGCAAATGACAGAAACTGGCATTCATGTGCACATAGGTGTTCACATTTACCAGCAAGCTCCTCTGCATACACACACACACACGCACGCAGCTGTACTGCCGTTCACACATTGACACTCTTTTGCCAAGAATATGTGGCAGAGGGTATTTCCATTGCTGCCGTCTGGAAAGATTTTGTAACTGGAGGTTATGTACTGGCCTCTGATTTCAGCCAGCGGACCGCCTAATTTGGCCTAATGAAAGTTAAAGCAAACAGCTCTGGCCACAGATAACAAGCCAGACGCGATCAGAATCAGTGTTGTCAGTCACAGGAATCTCGCGCTAGCGTGGGTTTCCTGCAATTGTCCAGAACGCAGTGCATGCGGACTAGCAAGGATGGGTACATTCCTGCTCGGCAGTCCCAATCTTTTCCACATCTATTCTGCCTCTTCATCATCCTTTATCTTCTCAACGCACTAAAATAGTCTACAGTGTCGGAAACGTCATTGCTACAGATTATTTTATCAAGTTTCGGCTGTTGACATCCTTTTGGAGCTCGGCGTTTGCGTTTAGCCTCGTTATTAACAGGCGGAAATGCCCCGATAACCCAATGTTTCCACATGACTTATCTCCTCGTAACCAAACAACCAACGAAGATAGCAATTTGGAAAAAATGGAGCATGTAAAACGCTAAAAACAGATGATTCCTCTGGGAGTTTGTAGAGGATCAGCAAATTAGAGCAAAAAGGGAGAGGGGGGGAGAATTTAGTTGGAGGGAAACAGAGAAAATGCACATGGGAATACAGTGACGTTCAAAAGAAATCAACAAGTGGGAAGCATCCGAGGGGAAAACAACGCCTTTGTGCCTGTGAGACTGTGTTGATAAAAGATATTTAGCAGAGAGTCAACAATTTGTGTCACAAGTCACAAAATGCTGGGAATTGGTTCACATCCTGGCAGCAGCACATATCACGCAGACAATTCAGAACTTTGTAACAGGTGTAATATTGAAGTACTTTCAATATTACACATCATCATGATGTGATGATGTGTGACATCATCAGAAAATTTGAGAAAAAAAATCAGATGCTTGAAGACATAAACATAATGGGAATGTCCGACCGCCGTTCTGTTCAGGAAGGAGACGGGTTCCGTTTCTTCTGAAGATGCTGTGAAGCTGGTGAAGAGTTTCACTATCCACAGTGAAACGGATTCTGCCCTGACATGAGCTGAAAGACCACGCAGTGAGGAAGAAGCCATGTAGAAAATCTCATTACATCTCGCAATTGTAAACTAATCTTTTTTTTTTTTTTTTTTTGGGTAGACATTTCCTGTGGTCTGGTGAACCTGAAGTGACCACAGTGACTAGTGTTATATTTGGAGCTAGCGCCCCAAAGTGGGAAAGACAGTAGTTTCAGGACAATGGAGTCAATGTTTCGATGTGGTGGCAAATATCGTATCCAAATTCAATCAGATAAACATGTACACAGACACATATATGTGTTGTTGTGATAACAACATATATGTTGTTTCTTGTGTCAAAACCTTTCCCGTCTTCGGCGTCCTAGATTTACTAAGCTGCACATACATGCATATTTACCCATGCACCCTAGAAATTATAGATACACACACTTTTATGCATTCCTACACCAAAACCAATACATATAACTTAAAAATCTCCCATATTTAGTATTTTAGTGCATAAATGTGTGTTAAATTGTGTGTAAGCTAGTGACTTCAAAACTTAAAGACAGTAAATTTGTCTGGAGCAATGGGTGGCTTTAGCAAGCTATTGTTCAAAGCTTGTGGAAGGATACCCAAAATGTTTGAAGAAGCCAGAGTTTTAAAATAATACTGATTTTTTATTAAATACGGGGAGATTTTCTGACATTAGACTAAAAAATATTCTATTATTCTGGTATTTAGCACATTGAAACAGTTTTGGCCAGTCTAACTGACCAAAAACAGGAAATTTAACATGAGACCGTGATAAGAAAATAGTTGTATCTTTTTATATATTAATTAAAAATTTTGGCTTAGAAATTTGAATCACATTGATGTCATCATGAGAAAACATTCATTTTAACGAGATTTACAACACTTGTTATACCAAGGCTTATATCACATTAGAACCAAAACATTTCCTTTTTAAAAAGGAAACAACGCAACAGTCAATCAGCAACACCTGCTGCTCTTTTTGGATATTTTCTAGAGGAAACAAGGTAAGAAGGAGAGTCTTGTCTTTTTACACGAGTCATAATCACGACTTGTCATGAGAGAGGCGTAGCCAAGTAAACGTTTCTCACTATAACGAGACAAAAAATTCATTTCGTCAAAATAAAAAACTATTTTGCATCTCGTTTTGAAGATGTATTTCATTCATTTCAGAAGGTGGATTTTTAATAATAATAAAAAAGACACCAAATGTGAGCACTTCACTGATTGGGCACACGTAGAGACTTATCTCTCTAGCTATATCCGCACCATAACTCCCTTCAAGCTGTTCACACGAGGGTCAGCTCGGGTCAACGTTCAAAAAGTGTGACCTCTCGACACCAAAAAAAGCTGTGCCCGGTGAACCAAAATTGCAAGAGTGCAGGATTGATCAAACTAGATGAGGTTCGACTTTGTGAGCTCAAAAGCATTGGCCAAACGAAGAGCGACTCACAGTCCAAACCATTACAATCGCCTCCAACTCCATATGGTTTTTGTTCTACAGAAGAAATCAAGGCAGTATTATTATCTCAGCTTGGCTGTGCCAGTTAGTAACCTCAAGCAGTCTGGCTTCAAGAGCCACTATGGGTTAGGTTAGATTACAAAAGCTAATTTAGGAGAGGAAATCACTGTCAGGCTCGACTGCTTTACTGTTCTTCGTCCTCATTTCCCTTTGTCTGTTTTTTCCCCCTTTTTCTTCCCCATTTTTTCCCCCCACAAATCGTCCTCTAATCTCGTCGTCCTCCATCTATCAGCTCCACATTTTGCAAAGTCCTCTCAGCTCCGCTGCTCTTCCTCCTGTACTTCTGGTACATCTGGTTTCCATCATGGTTACCGCTGCTCTCGTTTCCCATCGATCTCCCCCGCTGGTCAGCCTCCTCCTCTTTTCTTTCTGTCTGAGCTCTCACTCACTGAAAATTTGTCTGCTTCTCTCAACTTTTTTATTTTTTTATTTTTTTGCGAGTCTGCGGCTGCTTCTTTTTTTAAACTTCTCCAACTCACATTGACTCGCAGGTTTGATGTTTTGCCAGTTATCTTCATCCCTTACATCCAGTTTGTTTGACGCTTCAGCGGATTTCTTCCAACACTGGTTTTGAACCGCCTTCAGTCTCATAAAAAATGGAATCTTGAGTAAAAACAGCTTTTTCAAAGCTTTCTTCTTATTCTTCTTGCAAACTTGTAATTGTAGGAGCACTTTGCAGCACACACACAACACACACACACACACACACACCCCCCCCCACACACCACACACACACACACACACACACGCATGGGCTACAAATAACAGCAGCGGAGAGAAACGGGACAAAGCGATAAAATGTTTCCCGTCAGGTTGACGTTTACAAGAGCGGACATGGTATTCACAGTTCAGACCATACTGAAATAATATTAATCCAACAAAACCAGTTTCCCCATCACCAAGGTTGAGGAGGCGAGAGCTTGTGAAAGCAAACATTTCACTGGCTTGCTCCACTTTTTGTCTGCGAGACGTCGGCTAGAACGAAAAATTTAAGCCTTTGGCTTTTCGAAACTTGACTTTCGCAGACGCCGCTTCCCCATTCTGACCGATCTCATGCGGTTTCATAAAGCGGACTGGGTAACAGTTTCAGATTTTAGAAGTGCAAAGATGGTTGAGACATAACCCAAAAGATCTGAAGCTTCAGAGGCAAGGAAAGGTGCTTCTTCAAAGCACTAAGTCACTAAATGCAAAACAAGTTTCCAGATTTTTATGAGGAAGTTCTTTTTCCTGTCGCTTCTTTCTTATGAAAGGGATATGAATACATTTGCAAGACAGTCCGCACAAAAGTATTAAATAAGGCGATGTTGGAGACACTAACTATACAGTCAACTTTTTTCGGTGATTGCTTTGATGGTAATAATTGCTTGAAAACGGCAATGAGTCTTGATTTGAGTAGATTTGTCACCAGGTTTTACTCGAGGATCTTTTCATGTCTGTAAGCAAATTGAGTTCTTGAGTAGCTTTGACAATGAATGACAAGAAGTTTTAACATTTACATCCGCGACATGCTGTTGCACACTTGATGATACGCCTCGTCGCTGCGTTGCTAAAAGCAGCTTCGATCAGTATTATTCCCCCTCCATCGTCGCAACCGTTGCATGTGAACAGACAAGTTACATTTTTGAGTCTAAACATTGGTAGAAACTCGTGTGCCCAGGCGTGTGAACACTAACAACTCAAATTTATTTGGAAAAGGAATGCAAGGTAACGGCGAGGGGGTAAAAAATAAAATAAAATGTCACTGGAAAATTCTTGAGGAAAACTATTAGTCGCTAACGTTGCTGTGAAGAAATTGTGGCCCATTTTTCTTTCTGTTGCTCCAGTTGATTAAAGTTGGCAGACATTCATTTCTCTTAAGGTACAATTTCAGTTATGTTACACCAGGATTTTGACTACAGACCGTGGCAAAGTATTTTCCTCTGAATATTTTTTATTTATTCAATGGCCTGTTGATGAGTCAAGAGTGCGACTGCATTCACTGACGTTTTCCATCCAATTTGATCCCAAAAAGCCAAAAGTTCAGCAAAAAATCCCAGTAAGACACAATGAAATTTGTGGCCATGTTGGAAGAAAAACTTTAATCTATCTATATTATTATATTTTTTTAAGTGGCGGAGTGAAGGGAGTCTTTTTTCCCTTTCCCCTTATTTGGTTTGACAAGTTAAGAATTAATTGTCTAGTTTCACACAGGAGTTTTGCTTAAGTTTTCCTCACCAGGACCCCACAGTAATAATCGTATTTGCATCTGGAAAACCAATCCCTGTTCTCCACCGGCACTGACGTCAGTTTGACGGTCAGCTTCTCTGGGGCCCAGCACCCGCCCGCTGCTGATTGCTGCCATTTGCTTTCCAATGCGAGCAGCTCGGCGGCTAATTATCGGCAGCAAATGGAGTCTAAGCAGCGTTCGCGAGACAAATCTCAGACTTTTATCCGGCGGCCTTCGTCCTGAGTTTAGGATTTCTGTTCAGGCGCAACGGGAAGCCGCACGTGACGTTTGCTTGAACCTGAACTCGCGGCTCTGTTTTCTCAACAGCTATCAGTCAAAGGTTGGACGAGAGGTGGCCACATTAAAAAAAAAAACAAAAAACAACAAAAAACAACAAAAAACTTCGACCACTTTCAAATACTTTCCTGTTTATACAGCTCGTTCTGCCCTCCAGCGTGGCGAACCGCGTTTCGTCTGTGTACACAAAACAAAACCCGGAGAATAACTCTTCCTGCTCCTGAACCCGGTTCCTCTGCCATAAAATGACCCCCCAAAACACACACACACACACACACACACACACACACACACACACACACACACCGCTTCCAGCTCATTCATTCCTGGCCGTCTCTCACTCGCCGCTCGTCTCTTTTTCCACAGACCCTGCTCTCTTTCTTTCGTCTTTTACGACCGCTTTCGAGCGATCCCCTCGCGCTCGTTGTGTGTGATTTGGCCCGGCGCATGGAGAATCCAGACCTAATCGTTGTCAGATGACATTCAGAAAGGCTCGTCGAGGCGAGGCTCTCGGTGTGGGGGGTGTGAGGGGACGGAAGAAAGAGAAAAGTTGCAGGTCGCCATGCCAACAGCGCAAGCAGAGAAATAAACAGCGAGGTCCTCGTGCTTCCAGATTCGCCTGCGCTCACAGATGCGCGCGCGCGTCTGTCGGCGGAGTTTAGGCTGTGTTGTGTTTTGTTTTGGACTGAGGGCAGCAGGGAGGGGAGGGGTCACTGGCCGGCGGAGGAAATGTTTGACACTCCCCAGACCTCACGACAGGAAGCTGAAAGCGGCGTATCTGTGTATATTAATATGTGTGGGTGTCAGCGGCCAGGGAGACAAGCCGGCTGTTCGACACCGCACGAACCCAGACGGGAGGGTCCAATCAGGTGGTCCGCTTCGGGATTATTAACCCTTTCCTCGCCGTCTCTGTGTCCCGCAGGGTTCGGAGGCAATGGAGGACTGCGTGCAGGGGGCGCTCTCGTCACTTTACCCGCCGTTCGAGAGCACGGCGCCGCCCCTCCTCTCTCAGGTAAGATGAAAAGCATTCGTTGTGCATTTCTTTTGGGTTTCCAAAAGTGCATACTACTCGGCTAAATGAGAGGGTCCGAGAAGGAGCACTCAACCCAAATTTAACCAGGAGGTAGAATTGCTGGATGACCCAGGTCACACATTTTCCACATGCACCTCTCAAAAGATTGCTTGAGGTTTAGCCTATTCCTTCTGGCGGTTTGTGAATCAACCCATCTCGTATAACACCTTCCTTAAAGTTACTATAACAAATGTTATAGTAAATGGAACTACAGTGATGTGCCATTTGCAAACATTACATGTGTAGCGACTTCGTAGCCAACCTGGTGGTATGCCTAGACTCATTGCCCAATGGGAAGACCCATTTGTGCCCCAGCTTTAGCTTCATGGGGGATGTTTTGAGACTTCGATATTCCTTCCCCATGATGCCATCTTTAATCCGGCTTGTGATGTTGCCTTTGGATTGATGACCTCTTCCTTTCAAAACGGCCTTTCAAGCCCATATGGGTGCAGGATTTGTTTAAGAAAACCATAAAGGCTTAGGTGCAAAGGATGTAAACCTTGAAAAGAGGTGTGGATCTAACCATGTGCATGTGTTCGAAGGGCCCAGTCAATGCTCACCCCTAAACCCATGTGAGGATAGGAAGCAATATTTGAAAATTGATGTTCCTAGATGCTTTCCATCAAGTCTAACTGGACTAGAGCCATTTAGCAAAGACAGATGGGGAAAAACAGTTTGGTCTCTAGGTGAGTAGAGCTCTCCTGCAACTGTAATTTTACAATCTATTGCCCCAGGAGGCAACTGGTGAAAAATGTTTAAAAATAATTGCATCCTTTTATGTTATGGTACTGTTGGTTATCCACAGTTTGTGGTCATAACATTAAAACAAATATTACCAAATACTCGCATCTAGTTTTTAACCTTAGTATTTTCTTTTCTTTTTTTTGCCTATTTCTTTTCTGATCCTCTATTGCTTCTGCAGGTCTTCTCGGTCCTGGAGTCAACCTATCAACACGATAGCCTGCGCTACCTCCTGGACTATTTCGTACCTGCCAAGCATCTCCTGCACAAGCTCCAGCAGCATGCCTGTGTGAGTTCCAAAGTGCAAGCACGCCGCATAGCGAGAACACCCACATCGCTGCATAATCAGAAGCAGAATCTGCTGTCACATGCAAAAAGTCTGCTGTGGGAAAATGTGTCAGCTTCTTGAATCCTTTGGTGAACGTTGTCCTCCGACGATGTTTACGCTCGTGCCCCCGGGGAAAGGCGATTGACCAGTCGGTCCAAGTCGAACCTCAAGTCGTCAAAGCAAATCGGGTCTTAAGCTTCGCAGAGGTCGCAGGGTCGTTCAGCGGAGTTTAGACAAATAAGTGGAGTATTTAAAGTCGGCTTAGACACATCCAAGTCGAGATCTATGTTTGAGGATTAACACAAGGTCAAGTTCATGTGAGCTGAGATAGGAGTCGCATCTTCTCAAATTCTAAAGGGCGATGCCTTATTGGGGTTTTTTCTTCTTCTGTTAACTTCTAATGTGATCTTCAGGTTATTATGGAGAAAAATAAATCATAAGTGTGACATTTTGCTTTTTAATTCAAGACTTTAATTGACCCTTACCCTTTAAACCTGACCTTAACCCTAAAAGTAAAACAGTATGGTAAAGACAACCATTTGCGAAATTTGTCTAAATCGAGCAAATTTGCTTGCCAAACAAGTGATAAGTACTATGTGCTCAAGCAAAACTTAAACTTAGCAGCTCTTTCATTTTACTTTCTGTGACACTCAAAGAAAAACAACTGATGGGCTCCAGTTCAAGGGTTTGTTCCTCAGCTTTCTCGCATTTCTCCATAGAGTTTTTCTCTCTAGACTCTCGGTAATATACACGTCCGCATGCAGGGGCTGTGAGTGAACGATGTTTTCATTGTCGCTGAGTGGAGTTGCCTGGGACGGGAGTCAGACTCTGAGTCATGACAATAATTCCTTCCATATGTGATTGGGTTACTGCTGTGAGAGAAGGAGGAACTCGCAGAGCGGCGGTGGGACTTTGGACGAGAGAATGGAGAGTATGAACATGACCTTCATTCACTGCGCTTGTGTTGAGTGGTTGAAAAAAAAATGGGGGAAGACGTATTTTGCAGACCATAGTGGGGTGATTGAGAAATTTTGTAAAGTGGGAGCTGGAGGCAAGGGGGGAGAAGGCGCAGACACAGGCATACATTGAGGGAAAAGTGGGTGGAGAGGAGAGGACCACAGGACACAGAAAGTTTCAGAATGTGGACTTGTTTATTACGCTAATGCCAAATACATTAGCCTTCCACTTGCCTGAAGCTTGCCCTGAGCTGGAGAGAAGATTCAGAAAGAGACAAAAGAAAGGCGTAAGGGAAAGAAATTAAATAAAGGGCAGCGCGGTAAAAGTAGGAAACATGGAGGAGAGGTGGAGGAAAGAATTTAATGTGATCACGTCTCGTGTGTCTGGAGGGAAGGGAGCAGCACCGGGTCAGTGTTTTAGACGTGACTGAGAATAGCAAAGCTGAGATCTAGATCTGACACAGCATTCATTGAGCTAGAGTTAATGCTTTCATTAGGGAGCATTACTGTAATAGATCAATCCAATAATAGCAGGCCTCCATTTCTTGCCCAAATTCTTAAAGTCTTTCCAGGGAAAGAGTCTTTTTTTTACCCTCATTGAGTTAAACTTTGTGTTGAGTTAGCCACCTGTAGCTTGTTGTCTGACTCAAAGTTCTCCACAGTTTTCCCGATTGTCTCAATTCATCAAAGCAGTTGTAAAAAACGGAAAGGTCACATGAGTCATATGTTTGTCTTTGGCACAAACATTTGGTCAGTTGATCTAATGGGGGATAGGTTCTAGAAATTGAGTTTGTCAGAGTGGCGAAGTTGACCACATCTGGTAGAAACTCACCCGTTTCTCATGAGATGGGGTAAAACAACTCGTATCAGTCCGGTATTTAGAGGTTACTTTCCAGAACTTTCTTTAATCTTACCAGGTACCTTCACCAAAACTTTCCCAGGTACTTTTCTGGAACTTTTGGGTACTTTCCTAAAATGTAGTTTTCTGGATCATACTTGATATTTCCTATAAACTTTCAAGAAACTTGACTAGATCTCACCCAGACACGACCTCTTTATATGAAGACACACAAGTCTTCATGGGGTTAGGGTTATGAAGTTGTCATAACTTCTGAGCATGTTTATAAAAATAACCTTCTTGTTTCAGACTAAGAGACTGTATGAATAAATTAGCCTGATGATGTTCAAATTAAAGACTTGGTTCACAAAACATACATTTTGTAAATACATTTTTTTGTCTCTCGCTAATCTATATACCCTATTATCTCCCAGTCTCAGTATTTGGGATGCTTGTTCCTTCACTCCGGCTGGCCCCTCTGCCTGGGAGAGAAAGTGGTTGTTCAGCTCTCCACCTTGGATTGGAGGCTCCTGCGCAGCAATGACTTCTACCTGCAGGTGGTGCCCTTTTCTACTCGCTGCCCACGACTGGCCCTAAAATGTCTGGCACCCGGGGGTCGCACCGTGCAAGAAATCTTGGTGCCTGAGTCACAGCATCCCCTGGTGTTCACCTCTGAGTGGCTCCACAGTATCAACAAAGAACGGGGTCACAAGAGAGAAGGTAAAATTTTTCTATTGGTCGTATCTGGTCTGACTGAAGGAGTTAATTAAAATGGGAAGCAACACTCAGCTACAAAGCTATTCTTTTGAGATCGTTAAATACAGAGTTTTGCATTTTGTTGATGTTAAACATTTCAAAATGTAGTTGTGCTTTTTCTTTTAAAGAGAAAGAAATCCTTTTCAAGGCAACGCATCTTTGAATTGTGCAGTTTTGGAGATTGTGCTCACAAAATTATACTTAATAAGCCATGAAACAAATGATAATCGTATAAGTGAGACTGCAGTGCCGAGCCTGATCATTCATAATAGCATGGAAGCCAGTCATTATCCGGGTCACAATCGTTCTCCGTCTTAAGTGGATATGCATCCATTGAGCCAAGGAGTGGAAAACACTTATCCCTTTGGCTTTGTTTGTAGTGACTGTAAACTTCCTGAAAGAGAAATTTTGCAACCTGTAGCAGCCAAAACACTTTAACATTTATCATAGTCTAACAGGCCAATAAATTACAGAAGAGCCTTTGTAAGAGAAGCCTTTACAATAAAAAAACGATTGTATGTTGTGACAGTTTATGAGCTATGAATAAACCAAACAACCAACCAAACCAGTCAATCAATGTTAAAGTTTGTTTGGAATAAATTATTCAGGGTTGTAATTTAGATTCTATGTATAAACTAAGTTATGTTCAGTTAATCTGAAGTAATATTTACATTTCTCCTGCTCATTTTTTTAACCTCCTGGTATCTAAAAATATAGAATCAGTTTAAGTTGCTTCTTAGCAACTGTAAACTAGGGGTACTTTTTTTTTAAATGAAACTTTAGTTTGAACTCCATCCTTTGCCATGTTTTGCCTAGTTGGAGGGGGACTCGACACCTGTTTGGTCAGCACCTGCGACGGCGTGGTACGAGTCCCGTGGAAGGAAATAGTCTACCCAAAATTCCTCCATGACCCTTCTGAGGAGCTTGGCCTGGGTTCCAACCGCCTTTCCAGTGAGGGGGGCAGCAGCCTCGGAGGGTGGGGTGGCTCCTCCTCAGGAGACATGGACTCCTGGTCCTGGGATGATGAAGACGATGACAGTCTACCACCAAACTGCATGGACTCTGACCCTGCCATCAGACGGCGGCGCAGCGAAGACGGCCTTGGGCGGACTGCGAGGCAGCCTCAGATGGATGGGGATTATGTGGAGCTTTTGGAGCCCAGAGGAGGACCTGATGGAGGCGTTGATACCAAGCAGAGGTACTTGGAGATGCACGGGATTTGTAAGACCAGAACTTTGCCCTTATGCAGGAGAGGTAAGGCCATCAAACTTCGCAAAGGAAAAGCTTGGGGTTATGCAAAACCTGAAAGATCGGGAAGCTTTCGGGGTGCCTATAGTACCAAGGAGAAGGAGGCAAATCCGAAAGATGACTTGCCACTGCCAAAGCCTCCAACAACAGTTTCAGGATCTGCCAGAGTAAGACAGTCTTACTCCTCCTCTGCTCATGACTCAGATGAAGGAGATAAAACAAGCAGAGACAACAATAGCTTGGAAAGCCGCAGCCCTTATTTTGATGTTCCATTAAAAGAAAGGAGACCCGGTGTGGGCAAGGAAAGAGACAGCAACGGGTTCCCACAACAATCCCGAGATGGACACCAAAATAAAGACTCCCAGAGAAGCGACAGCTTAATAGCAAACGAAATCTACGACATAAGCCATAAAAGTGGCCATGACGTTGAGGGCCAATCGGATCATGGCTCACATTCAGACTCTGTGTTTGAGGACACAGATAAACCACTGAGTGGAGACAGCGATGCTGTTACGCCAACATCGGATGCACCAGAGAGACTGTTTACTGGAGTTTCTGAAAGCAAAAATACAGCCAACGTTCAGTCTAAGACGAGGAACTCATCGAAGCCGAAGATTCCAGATGAAAGGGCTGAAGGGCGGACAGAGGACAGAGTGTGTCCCAGAGGAAAAGAAGTTAAAACAGCCGGATTCAGAGCTCCACGGTATGGAAATGTTAAATTTTTTTACGATAAATTACATACTTTCCTTATTTGTACACATGTGTATTACATTGAATTGGATGGCACGAAAGAATTTCCAACTAATGAAAAATGCTTCTCTATCCCCTCTACTGTAACCTCAGTAAGATCTTCCTGTGCTTTGTGTTTAGGAGGAAACGGAAGGGAAAGGGCGCCAAAGGAAAGGCTAGGTCTGGTGGCAAAAACCAAAAAGGCACAAAACTACAGGGTAAAAGTCCTCTGCCAAGTCCCACAGCCCACTCTGCAACTACAAAGCTGCTAATCCCAGAGGAAAAGAAGGCAGAGGAAACAGAAAAGATTGACAAACCTGATGGAGAGCCCACAACCGACACCAAAGGGAAGGAAAACGCAAGGAAAGGCAGTGGCGGTGGGTGGGAAAACCTATTCAGCTGTAGTAATATTTGATTTTTCTTAGTCCCCCCCTGGTATTGCTATGGTAGTGCTATTTCTGTTTTTTTCCATTTTCTTGCTGAGACAGACGATGGATCGTTGCCTGTGTGCAATGGTCAGTCAGGCACGTCTTCATTTAACCACTTGACTGTGGAGGCCGGATCACCGGAGATGTGTCCTGACCAGATAAACGGTGTTGCCTCTAAAGAGCTGGCGCTGTTAAGGGAACTGGATGCAGAATTACTTCAGTCAGGGAAGCTGCAGCTGACAGGTGACCTCCTTTCATTCTGTCCTTCACGTTTATGCCACATTTCTCTCAGACAAGCCTATCATACAGACACAGGGTAGCAGTTTACCTTTAATTACAGACACCTCATTTCTACAGGTACAGTGGACAGATTGGGGCGAGCTCTGGTTTTCACCGATGCAGGTGCGTCTGAGGAGGAGTTCTGCTCGGAGGAGGTCGCGCGGGTCCTTTCCTGTTACCACCGGATCACTCGGTGAGCTTGTGTGTGTCCACTAAATATTGTTCTGATCCTGGCACATGATCTTCTTGTTTCAGCATGTTTCTCTGTACAACAACAGTGACAAAATACTCCACCTCTACTGACAATGCTGGTAAAAATGTAAAAAGCCTGAAACTAATCTTTGATCGTAATAGGATAAGGTCACCCTAAGCATTCGTCACACCACTTCTGCAGTAAAAAATATTTGAAACCCATACTAAAAGCACACACGGGGTCAGCGCGACCCCCGCTGGACTGCGCTCGGACTACAAAACTCGTGGGGTCTTAATGATCCCGCCTCTTAAGAGGGATTAGTTCACAGATGTACTGGATATCAAGAGCTTGATTTGTGATTTGGGGCTTGTCTTTGCGCGTTTATGATGTGAACTGTTGGTGTTCTAACAGTCACTTGTTTGACTTGAGAAGTTTTCACGCCTCGTATACAAAAAAAAAAAAAAACAAAACTCTGATTTACAAACTTTTCTCTTTTCTCTTTGAAAACACGTTTTCTTTATAAGCTGTCCTGATCTTGCGTTAACCTTTGTTTATCATCCCTCATCAGGCCCGAAGCCAAAGAAAAGGGACTAACTGTGCTAATAGACAGCAGATGCTCCCAGCCATCTTGTCTTTGCCTTTCTGCTCTTAAACGGTTCCAGGTGAGGCGAAGGGAAAACAAAATAGTTGTCAAGACAAATGTGCCAATTTTTGTTTTTGTTTTTGTGTTTTTGTGTTTTGCTTTTGTGCTTTAATTATCCTGCAGAAGGGCTGGTAGCACAAACACATGTGCTTTCTGTGTGTGTTCCAGGTCTTGGTTCCTGGTGGTCTGGGATCCGTGTTGGTCCTGGTGGAGGAGCAGCAGGAGTCCCTTTCCTTAGCTTTAGATGGGACAGAGGTGACAATAGCTAGGAATATATCGCCGTTTTACACAAATGTGAAAACGTTTAGAGTATTTTAAAATGGCTAAACTCATGTGGGTCCGGCTTACTAGTGTTCCAAAGTTCAGAGGACTTATTGAGTTTTCTACAAATTCACTTTAACATGATGTCTTTCTAGTCCAGCGAAGGGAACAATTACTAACTATCTTTCTCGTCCTAAGAGTAACTTTAAAATAAAATACAAATTTAAATTAAATGTAATTCTAAATGTCACAATCTTACCTGCAGCAGACAGTCTAAACTACCTACGCCTGAAAAATCAGTGAGTGGTTCTTCCTTTAAAGTTGAGCAAATGGACAATTTTTACATCAATTGTGGTTGCTGTCCATGCAAGCTTCATTTTGAAAAGTGTTTTTCACAGATGTGGAGGCCCGTGGCCTCTTACAAATAAGGTTTTATATGAAACAGGATGCATTGTGGGCCGGGCCAGACTTTACAAAGGCCTCAGTGGGGCAGAAGCCCAGAGAACTGAGCTTCACAAGCAGCAACTTTCTGGTTCTTTTTTTGTTTTTTCAATGAATTTATGTTTTGCTAACCATGTTCTTATTTTAATACAGTTGGATTTTTATAATTGTAAACAATAACTAAGTCAGCCAGGCAAGTCCGACACAACAACAAGATGCAAGAGCATAATCCATACTGGGGTTTTGGGGGTATTTAAGTGATTTTGTCCTGTTTTCACCATCTGGCAGCAGACATTTTAAATGGATCTGTAAGCCTACGTAACCTACCAGACCGTATTTTATTTAATCTGAACCCAGCAGTTATTAACTCATACATTCAAATTTATTTCTGTTATTTCACCACATTAAACTCATTCAGAACCTTGTTTCCAAAAGAAAACCATAACTATCTCTTTACCATAACTACAATCAGACTTTCTATTCTGATTTCTTCTAGTTAGACATTATAATGTTGGACTCCATTTGCCTTGGAATAAATCCACGTTGTGCTTAAGCCTCGGGGTGCATTCTGCACATTTACACATTGCGAGTTCCTCTATGAATCAAGTCAGAACTTGCATCTGTCAGCTCACATGTTTTTTATGCACACTTCCAGAGCAAATTTCTTTGTGACATGTGGTTTGGATTACGGCTTGGCAGTACCAAACCTTTGGTTGTTGAAGGAAGATCCCGCCCAAAGGATGTTAAAACTGTTAGGAGAGAAGAGTTCTCCTGGATTTTCACCTCGTTTTTCCGCCACTTGGGATTCTGTTTGCCAGACTTTCTCATCCTGTCCCGGTGCTGATGTTTTATTGCGCCTTTATGTTCTCTCCTCAGACCCACATAGTGCGTGGAACAGGAGTCCTTCAGCAATATGTGGACAGTCAGCAACTCCCTAAGCAGCTAGATGGAGACTTCAGTCACAGTCACTCAGACTGGTTGGCATTCAGACTGGTAAAAATCCTGCTTTGCTTTGTTTTAGTGACATTAGTTCTGTTTCTACAGAAGAGGATTAGGGCCGCTGAAAAAAAAATACAAAATTTTGAGTTTTTTCTCAGAATTATAATAAGTTGAGCGATTATTTTGCATGCAATGACAACACAACCGACATACACCTAAAATGTTTTATTTATTTGGATGCTGACATTGATTGGCACTGTATCAAAATTCAAAGGAATCTTATATTCTGTTTATTTTTGGTGGCTCTAATCCTCTTCCGTACATTCTTGATAAAATCCAGTCGGATGGTTTCCCCAAAAACATAGTTGGTAGTTTTCATTCCTCCGGCTTATGTGAAGCCGGTGAACGCAAAAGTGAAGAAGGCGAGCTAAAAGCAGGAAAAGGAAAGCTTCAACCAAACCTTCACTTTTGCTTCACCCAACAGAGGTTGGAGAAACTGACAGAGCGCTGCGAGAGCGCCCTCTCTCTGCTCGGAGAAGCCCTGCAGTCCATGGAGACGGAGGAGATGCCGAATGACATCAAGGTTGACTGCGGTCACTATATCATCACATGCTTTGTGTCCTTTGTCGGAAAGAGTTTCTGAAAGTGTTGAAACAATGATCTCTTCCAGGCTGTTCCTCAGAGCATCGACAAACACAGGCAGCTCATGGCGAGTGTGCTGGCTGACCAACGCTTAACTGAACTGCAACAGAGGGGCGGAGCCTGGCTAGCGGGGCTGACGAACTGTTCGTCCGGACTGGCGCAGAGGTCGCCTGACTGCAGGTAACACACCTGAACTCACCGAGAACTTCATATTAAATCGGTTTTGTTATGCGACACCCACAAATTTCACTGTTTCATTGGAATTGTGTGTGATAGGCCGAAGACAAAGTATGGAAAAACAGCAAAGTGGAAGGAAACTAATACTGAAATGTTCACACATTCATCTGAATCATCATATTGTTTTTCTTCTACCAGGGTGGGGAAGATAACGGAGAGATAAATGAAGATAAATACAAGCAAAAAACATCAATAACAACAAAAAACCCCACCAGTTTCATTGGAACACTTCACATTAAAGTATATGCATAAGTCTTGAAAACTGATGTTCATAGAAACTATTCATTCAGTCTGACTCGACTTGAGCTACTGAACAAAGAAGATTGCAGCTGCAACTGTGGTAAAAAGTGATTCAACAAACTTCTGTCTGCTGTTGACAGAACATAAATGCATGTCACAAGTCATTTGTTTTGCAAATGTATCCTATTCTTTCCACTTTACAATTCTACATATATTATATATATGACATAATCTCATAAAACCCGCTGGACTTTCTATTTGCTTCGTGACTAGGGTGTGAATACTTTTACTTGAGGCGCATGGTTTGTTGATTTTTTGCCAACAGAACATTTGGCCTTTTGGTTTTGGGCATGTACTGCAGCTTTTTGTCACTCTTGTCAGACATGGCAGCCGGTTTTTAGGCTATCTGTACATTTTGTCAAGTCCTTTGACCATATATCATTACAGACAGATAACAAACTGAGCTTTGTTTGTTAGTGTTGGCATCGCCACTCAGCCGATGATGTATTCTCCTACGACATTCTGAAAGTAGTTAGTGGTTCAGCCGCAACACCCTCTGCCCCCACCGACATACAGTTTGTACCATAGCAAGAGTTTATAGGGAAGTTCTTCAAACCGAAACTGGTTGTATGTGCCATTAGTACGACTACAGGGATGAAAAAAACTGTGTTCCCTCTTATGTTTCTTCTCTTTTGAGACCTAAATGTTTCAGATTGTTAAAACAAGTAAAGTCATTAAAAACAACCTGGAAATGTAGTTAACCTCTACAACAAAATCAAGGTTTTGGAATTGTCTAGTCAAAGTGTAGGCTTAAATTCACTTGAGATGTTGTGGTGTGACGCTAAACAATTGTTTCATGCTTAAAAGCTTTCAGATGTGGTTAAAAAAAAAAAGCAATTCTGCAAGTAAGAGTGAACACAGTGCCTCCACAGTGAAGGCAAAGACTCATATCATAGATTCAAATATTTCTTTTTCTCTCTAAAAGATTAAGTAGTCAATTGAAAACTGTTTTATGTGTGTTTTCTCAAGATGTCATGGTCTGGTATTAAAATCTGAATTAAAAGTTGAAACATTTAGGAGTCACAAAAAGAGCGGTCAGAGAAAACAAACCTATGTTCACACCAAAGCACTCAGTGTTCCAGCTTGTTGTGGATACAGAAGCTGAAACACGTTGTCATCGGTTCGAAAACAGTTTCCTGAATGTGTCTTTTCGGGCTTTTTTTCTTCCGTCACAGAAATCAAATGCTCCTACCTGCTCCTGTTTGCTTTCTTTGTTAAAATGCTCCGCTCAGGGTTAAGATTTTTAATCAGGCCGATAACTAGATGAAACAAGACTTTTTCGATTACAGCAACGTCATGACAAACACGGCCGCTGTATTTGGGGCACCTGTGTGACTCGTTTGGTCTTAAATGACATGAATGGCTCCTGTATGACTGAAGTATTGTTTGGTTGAGCTAAGTGGGGTTTAAACACCACAGAAATACAAACCAGCTGGAAATGACCCTGATTTTTGGAATGAAAAACAGAAACAGAACATTATGGTCTTCTACAGGTCTGCTCTCAATGCCACTTCGCAACTCTACGACGGCGTGGACGATGCCCTCCATCGGCTCGTCCAGGTTTCCAACCGGCGAGGTCGTGATCTGGAAGCACTGGGACGACTGGCGGGAATGGTGGACAAACTGGAAAAGGTGGTTGTAGTTTTACTTATTCTATGTTCTTTTTATTTAAAAAAAAAGTAAAACAATCATTTGAAAGCTTAACGTTAACCTGGTACATAACCAGTCTGTGGTTCTATGCTGACCTTCATACAGAGGGTCTGGGCCCTCAACAAACAATTGCTAGCCAGAGGCATGGACTCTGTTAAGGTTTTAAACTTTACCCAGTTACTTATGTTTGACTCAATCGCTAACGTTAGACCCAATCGCTGATGTCTGGCCAAGTCGGTAACATTTGGCCCAATAACTAATGTTTGGCCATGACGCGTCTCACAGAAGTCAGAAATTGCCTGCGCTGTAAATAACCATCCCCCTGTGCAAAGAAGGAAATGTCAAGCCAAATGTTTCTTCAGTATTTGGAAGCATGACTAATGGGAGCGTAGGAAGTGAACGTATGACTTCTTCCGCTGCCATTGCTAAAACCACAGGCAGGCAGTCAATAAATCTAAAACGGTACAGAAAATCAATGTCACAACTTCTTCTGTTCACTGTTTGGACCGGCTTAAATTTTACCAGAGGGATCCAAGCCAATGGGAGAAATCTTCAGGGAGATGAGAATTGAGAGGAAATGTATATATGCAATGATCAGGTTAGGAAAACATCTGTCCTCAACATTTTACATCTACTCAAAAGGGTTTTTTTTACTACTCTTTATTCTTGTTACTTCCCTCTTTTGCGCTCAAAGTGGACTTGGTGGAAACTCCTAGACTCACTTCTTCTTCTCCTGTTATTTTTTCTCACTTCCTGTCAACGTCACAGCCAAACAAAACAACACCAGCAGCAATAGCGTCAGATTTCCTCGTCTTCATTTCCTCTCTTCAGCCGTCTTCTCCTGTAACTTCATGTTGTGTAGAGTGACTCATGCCCCCTCCACCTCTAACCCTCCCTTCCTGTCTCTGTCGACCTTCGACCCACAGTGTGACAAGGAGATAGAGCAAGTGCAGTCGCAGCTGGAGGAATACAAGGACCCTCCTCTGTCTCTCAGCAGGCTGTCGCTGAAGCAGCAGAAGTTCAGAACGTTCAGAGAAACGGCCAACGTGAGTGACACAATACCCCAAAAAAACTCTTTTATTAGTGCACTGGCAGAAGTTTCACCCAAAAATTAAAAATTAAACAAAAATCATCAGACGTCATAAGAGCTCATAAGAGCGGGAATGGTGGACTAACTGGAAAATTAGATCCAGTGTGCTGATATGAGGGAATCTGTCTGTCTGTCTGTGGGACGTCTAACCCACAGAGATGCTACAAGCCACAAGGCTTATCAATGTAGAATTGAACTGACCTGAACTTGAAGATCTTCCTGTCCTGCTTCAGGAGCTGCACAGCGACACTCTGTCGGTGCTCAGCGATCTAGAGGGCTGGTGCGAGCTGAACTGGGCCGGCCTCAGCGACATACAGATCCGTCTACCCCCTGTGAGGGAGAAGCTGAGAGACATGTCCCACTGTCTGTCCGACTGCTGGACCACTCTGGACAACACCCAGAGGCTGCTGTCCACGCTGACAGAGGTAACTCGGCGCAGGACGACGCGTCAACGTCTTCCCCCGTCTAACCCTGCTTTCAGTTAATCCATCGTTGCAGTTTTAAAAATGACAAAAACGCCCAAACATTACATTTTGATGAGTGCCAGCACCAAAATCATACACATCAAATGTGTTGGTCAATGTTTCATTTGTTGTGGTTTGAAAGCAACTCTGAACTGCTGGGTTTTTAGTCGAGATTTAAAGGAAGTCGGTGTTTCAGCTGTTTTGTAGTTTTCTGGAGGTTTGATCCAGATTTATGGTGCATAGAAGCTGAATTTGATTTCTCCATGTTTGTTTCTGGTTCTGGATTCAGAGCAGAGCCAGAACCAGAAGACCTGAGAGGTCTGAAAGGTTGATATAACAACAGCAGATCTTTAATGCATTGTGGTGCTAAAGCCATTCAGTGATTTATGAACTAACATCAGTATTTTAAAGTCTATTCCTTGAGCTACAGGGAGCCCGTGTAGGAACTTTAGAACTGTGGCGATGTCCTCTGTCTTCATGGTTTTAGTGAGAACCTGAGCAGCATCTTTGTGGATCTGCTGCAGCTGATGGATTGATTTTTTTTTAGACCTGTGAAGACGCTGTTGCAGTAATCAATGAAACTAAAGATAAACACATGGATGAGTTTCTCTAGATCTGGCTGAGACATTTGTCCTCTAACCCTGGAGACGTTCTTCAGGTGACAAAAGGCTGACTTTGTGACTGTCTTTATGTAGCTCTGAATGTTCAGGTCAGAGTTCATCACTACTCCCAGGTTTCAGATCTGGCTGCTACTTAAAAAATGAAACTGAATTTGATTTAATTGAACTGTATTTTCCCATTTTCAGGCGACCCAGTGGTGCGACGCGGTCTCCTCCACCCCGTCCTCCCCCACCACCTCCTCTTCCACCTGCCCGCTGGCGTCCCTTCCTCCAATCCCCCCGTCTCGCTTCCAGGACGCACGGTCCTTAGCCATGGAGCTGGGAGGCGGGGCCCTCCTGGACCTCTGGACCCAAACAGTGGAGCGCTACCAGCGGACCGTGGCGCAGGTCAAACCTCGTTTCCTCCACTCCGAGCGGACGCAGACCCACGGCCAGGGGAAGGCCAAGACACCGTCCGGCAGCACCTTCTGGGACCTGGTGGGGCCCGACGGGGAGGGCGACTGGGGGCTCGGAGGAGGGGACGGGGGCCTGCAGTCCTGGGGCTCCCTGGCGTCGCTGTTCAGGCCTCAAACCTGCTCCACGCTGAAGATAGGAGAGGACAAAGGGAACCGGAGGGACGGGTCAGCAGGGAATGGAGGTGGAGCGGGAGGAGCCGGGGGAGGGAAGTTCCTGCAGAACCTCCTGAATCCTGGGAAGAAAAGTGTGAGTTGGTTTCTGCCGGTCCTCATTGCGTCAGATCTGCTGTTCTGTCTTCTTTCAAGATTGCTAAGATATTTGGACTCCAAGCTAGATAAAAAATACATGGGATGTGTTTCTGCAGTGCTCATGTGACAGACCAGCAACATTGCATAACTGTAGTTCAAACCAAATGATACTCGATCATCAACATTTATTTCATGAAAATCTAAAACACTGAGCATTAGTATTCACTCTCCTGAGGGGTAAATGGCTTATCGAGCAGCAATAGGTAAACCTTCACCCCAGTCTCAGGTTTTCCCATAAGATTTAGTTCCATCCATCTCCCGATGCTCAGCCCTCACCGTGACGCTGCCACCAACCATGGTTCCTAGTGGTGTTACTTTCCCACCTCCCACGGCGCTTTGCATAGAGAACAAAACATTCAATTTTGGGTTCATCTGGCCAAAACACATTTTTTGTGTGTTTACTGCCCCCTGCTGGACTTTTAGCAGCCAGCAAACGGGACTCAACGCCTTTTTTCTTAACTAAAGGCTCACTAGCTGTCCTTCAGACTAGTTCTTCCATCCATGTGCTTTTACAGATTCTTGATTCTGATTGGTTTCTGGCTTCAGTTCCACAACTTTCTTCCCGATCAGCATGAGAAAGAAATGCAGCCCGCACTTTTCAGACATACACGTGATTGGCTGCGATCAAGGTCAAGTCTCTTCTTGTTATTTACACATTCTGAAAATGTAGATTCAAAGCTTTCCAATTATGTCAAAGACGTGGGAATCTAAAAAGAAACGAGGCAGACATGGCCATTTGAACGTCAGCACAACCAAATTGAAAAGGAAATGTCTTTCAAGGTTCAAAAAGAATTCTCCCGTGAAACTGTTCAGGAACCTGGAGGAGTTCACAAAGACTTCTCTCAGGAGCTTCTAGAGTTATTTATTGACTCTAAAAGTCTGGATTCTAAGCTTTCCAACAATGTCAAAAACATTGAAGTCAAAACAAGAAATGAAGAAGATATGGCCATCATGTTGGTGCTCAGGAAACCAGATATCTGAGAAAACAGGCATCAACGTTTCAAACATAAACTGAGGAGCAACGTGGGGATTGTTAGCAAACGCTGCTCATTTACATTACTATACATCACATTAGCTCCCTCCTATTGAGCACCACTTTGTGTTGCTCACTAGGAGTACCGATAATAATAGATATTAACAAATTTCCATGGAAATGATCTTCCAGCCCCCAGAGGCCCCGCTGCCTCCCAAGCCCCCCAGGAAGCGCCACCCCAGCTTTGACCTCCAGGCTCTCCTGGCCCCCCGCAAAGGCACCGCCACTCCCAAGCCGGAGTCCCCCGTCGGCGGGGCGAGCCGCTCCTCGCCCATGTCTTGGCTGGGGCGAAAGAACATGGCGGACCCCGTCATCGCCACCGGCATGGCGGCGGCTCTTCCCGGGTGGGGCGTCGGAGTAGCAGGCGGAGGTGGAGGCGGTGTGCTGATCCGAGGTGTCGAGGTCAGCAGCAAAGAAGTGGTGGATCACACGGGGTCGCCGCGGCAACACGTCCTGCTCGGGAGGACGGAGAGGGACGTGGGGGCAGACAGGACCGGTTCAACTGCACAGAGGTGAGTAGGATTTTACTCTTTCATTGTCCTATAAATTGTCTTTGAGAACGTGGAAGTTTAGCTGAGTGCACACTTGGCCTAAAACTTCCAAAATCCAACCCGCTGAATAAATTAGCTTAAGCGGGGCCGAGATGAAAAAGAAAACGCACGCATCATTTTGGGGGGGGGATCAATCAGCGCGCAATCTGTGATCATTTTTTCATCATCGTTTCTTTGATCTCCGTCCACTGCCTGCTGCTACGGCTTCCCTCCAACATCTCTGCTTTTTCTTTCATGTTTGTTTCTCATTTAAAAAAAAAAAATAAACAATTTATTTTCTTATTCGCATTAACCAATTCGCCTTCCCATCGCTTTCCCCCCCGTTCGTCCCGCAGTAAACTGTACCTGCTCTGGTGCAGGATGCTGAGCTCAGAGCGGCAGTACGTCGCCGTCCTGAAGGGAGTTGAAGAGACGTACCTGCCCCTGCTGGAGCTCTCCGACACCCCGGCCTCCATCAGGGGGAAGGGAGACGCGCTCTTCCCCAGCTGGCGCAGCCTCAGTGCCTTTCACTCGCGGGACCTGCTCCCTGCCATGGAGGGCGCTCTTGTGCAGAGTTTGTTGCAACAGGACTGCTTCAGCAAATATGTAAGTCCCAAAATCTACTGGGAAGGTACAGCAAGCGACCTTACTGCCACTGTCTGTGTTTTGAATTCTGGCTATTAGGATTTCACAAGATTTGGTAAAGGGTTCATTTAAAAAAAAATAAAAAATTGTGACATTGAAAAAACACCCTTGATGAAGCTCATAACACGGTCTTAGCATGATGGCCAGGAGGATTGCGGCAAATGTTGGACAGCGAGGTTGTGAGGGTTTTGTCTGTCAGAACGTCAGTTCCCGAAATAACACACACATAATAAACGTTGTTAAAGCAACCCCGCCAGAAAAGCTTGTGTGGTTCAAATTACCCCGTCTCTTAATACTGCAGGAGAATTTACATGATTTATCATGACTGTGTTTTGTTTTGTTTTGTTGCATAGAGCAAATGTTACACAAAACATGATTCAAACCTCTTTTTCTGAAACTAAATAAAATCGAGGCCTATCTGCCTCGTCTAAATATTTATGACAATCACGTTGATGTATCCATATGTAGTCCAGCAATCTTAAAAAAAAAAAAAACACAGAAAGAGCTTGATATCAGGCATCAGTATCTCTTGAGTTGTCTCAAAGTACTCACCATTCTGCAAAACATCAATGAAAATGTAAAAATTTGGTTCAAATAACAAACTGTATATTATTCAGTTTAAACTTCATATTTCATCTTGTGCTTATTTAAATAACTGCTAACATAAAAACACGCTGTAACGCTTTATTTCCTCCTCTCCCCCGTGCATGCAAAAAGCGGGAGGAATTTCTCCAGTATTCCCACTACATTCGCTCTAAACCGGAAATGGATTCACCTCTGGTCACACAGGCAGCTGACTTCTTTAAGGTAAGAACCAACATTTTGTTTCCTGGCAATTTCAACATCTGAACACAAAAGGCAAGTTCTGCTCTCGTAGATTTATTATCAAGACATTCATAATTTGCTCTGGTTCTTTTTTGCCGCCCTCAATATACAATCAACTCATAAAAAAAAAAAAAACTGACGGAAAAAAAAATCATAATTTATGCTAAAGAAAATGGAACAGTTTGGGCCAAAAATGAACAAAAACATGTTGTTTTTACTTTTCAAAATAAAAAAAAACCCCACAAGAGTATCAGTCCAAGTATTTTCTTTATTTTTTGAGCTCAAGCGCAAACCAATCAAAGTAGCTTTTATTTGTCAGTGGCAGCAATTAAGCTGTATACAGTGATGCAAATTATATGTTCAATATAAGACCAGAAAAGCCAATTAAAGGCAGATTATAGAGGAAGTAATTTGAGCATCCGAGCTACAATTAGCTAAAACTAATCCATCAACAGCATGATGAGATTACCACCAAGACTTTACAGGAAGAGATCAAAGCACCAGAGTGGGGTAAAGTGTGGCCGGCCACCAGCAGGTGGCAGCGTGCGCTCGTGATGCCGCAACCTGCCTCTGTTGCAGCAGCTTGAACACATGGTGGTTAATGGGAACGGGCAGGTTTATGGTTATGGTAATGACTGTGGAACGGCAGGCTGGCTGATGGTGATCATTTAATGGGAGTGAAAACACGAGCAGCAAGGCTTTCAGCTTGTTCATGGTTTTGTTGTTGTTGTTGCGGGGGTTCGGGATGAAAAGGGATTTCCAAATTAAACTCCAGTTAAAACTTGTTCATTTTGAATAGCTCTAGCTGAAAACGGCAAAAACCAAAAATCTTTTTGTTTTATGTATTTATAATTTGAATGTTTGAAAAAAGTTGCGCTTTTTTTTCAGCTTGTCTATACAATAATGGGGTCTATACAACCCCATTATTGCACTATGAGATTATGTCTAGCAGGAGATTGGATGTTAGAAATGTAAAAAATAAACTCACTTCCTAAGGTCTTTCACTTTAGGTTTGGAGAAATAGAAAGGACGGCTTACCAGAGCATCGAGCTAACTTCAGCTAATCAGAGCAAAGTTGATTTCCCCTGTTTCAAACAGTTTGTCACAAGTTATTCAAATACTCTTTACTAATAAACTTTACATCACCACGCAGTTTGTACTGAACAGATTTTTATCTTGATGTCTATGGATATCCACACTGAACATATTGGCCCATTGGTATAGGCCAATTAAAAAGTAATAATAATACAAAACTAAATAAAATAATAAAAACATTTTTAAAAAACTGGTTTTACATGAAACACGATAAGTGATTAACTGTAAACCAACTTGACTCTCAGTTTAGCTGAGCGTTGGCATGTGTCTATCAATATAGTTGACTTTCTACAGGTTTATAAAATAGTGTTACCATAAGTTGCCATGACTTTGAGCTTAGTGTTGACTACAGACACTGGCTGAGTAGCCGTTAGTTTAATACGGCAGAGAAAATTAAGGGGTTTCCAGATTCTGCAAGGTTTTAACTCCTGCTGCTTCTGCATTTAGCATAATAGTAGAAAGTTTGGAAGCCATAGAGGCTGGTAGCATCATCCTCCAGACCCAGCTACTCTGGATTTATTGCTAAATGAAGACCCATTTATGTCACCCAATGCACAGAACACGTCACCTGCTTCTGACCTTCCAGCAGAAACTAACTTCAGAAATAGTACACTGCCCCTTTAAGTTCTACGATTTGCATGATTGGACCTTCATGAGTTGCATTTTTGAGTGTTTCCCAATCAGACTGACCTCTGGGAAAAGTTTCAGGCTACAACTCCAACGCTTTAAATTGTTGCTTGAAAATTCCCTGAGGCGTTTCTGTTTGGCAGCTTCAGACATTTCACTGTGTCAGCGAATACGGTTGCCACGGAGAGCCGTCTGATCCGCAGCAGTTGTTTGAGTTGGTGTTAGAGACTGACACCCACACACGAGACAGTTTTTTTTTTTTTTTTTGATGTGAAACCAAAGCAGAGACAGAGGTGGCATTTATTCTGTTTCTACATTTCTGCTCTTGTCACCCCCCCCACCTCCAAACCCAAAGTCCAAACTCCCCCAGGCGTCCCCCCTGTCCCCTCTGTCCTTCCCTTACTGCCTGCAGGCTCCCATTCAGAGGCTGGAGCAGTACTGCGAGGCCCTGGAGGAGCTGGGGGGTTTAAATCTGGCCTCAGACTCCGCCCTCTCCGTCCTGAGACACGCCCAGCGCCATGGCGAGGACCTCAGGGCCAGTGACCTCATCGTCGGCTGTCCGGTGAGAGCGCCTGTCCCACATTATTTCACAGTCTGCAACTGTCAAGTCCCACTTTCTTTTCTTAGACAGGAAAAACCTAAATAGTTTTTGATGAGGTTAGGCCGGGGGGAAGCGAGGGGAATCGTTTCCCTTCAGTTTTTCTTTGTTTTCATTCAGCAATTAAAAGCGATTCAAGTAGTTATTTGGTTCACAATGTTTCAATATTGCTTTTAAAATAAGCATTCATACCCTATCTTCAAAATAGTATCACGTTACAACTAAGAACTGCCCCGTATTGTGTCAACATTTTTATGTGACACAAAGAACCACATAACTGGAACAACTGGAAGGAAACTGATATTTCACAGTTTTTTTACAAAGAAAAATGTGAAATCCGTAAATAGTTGAGACCCTCTCTAAAAACGCTCATAGCTGCCCATTTTAAAACTTCAAACACATTAGCAATATTTAATGTTCATTATTAAATATTGCATATTCCTTATTTCTGTTTCCTGGGTGTACAGCCAATCAGCACTCAGGACAATTAAAGGGGTTCCTGGATTGGCTGCTTTGCAAATGCCAGCCGATAACCTTCCAGCTAATATTTCAACTTCCCAAGCTATATTTTCTTTGAAATGTTTTAGATATAGTCTGCAAACAAATTTGGGAACAAACTAATTTTACAAAAATAATTTGTATTCACAGAAAAATCTGTGAATATTGTCGCATACGGATGGGCAAATCAATCCAAACATATCGATATCATCAAAACCGAGTCGATATCGATATTGATCAATCGACAGTAGGGTGATAATACCAATACTATGATTTCAGATTCCAAATGGTAATTTCAACTAATCTTCACCTCTGACAAGATTTTTTGTTTTTCTCTCAGGTTATGTATATTCTTTTGTTTATTCAGAGAAACAATGCAGAAAATTGCTTTGTTTTTGTGTCCTTCCTGTTTATTACGTTATTATAGTATTTTGTAAACTTTGTCCAGATTCTCTCCCATGTTTTGACAAAATAATTCAAAAGGAAAACCACAAAAACAACCAGAAGGTCTGAGATTAAATCATACATCTAACTTAACTAAAAACTCTCTATAACAATATCAGTCAGACTGGATGCACTCGGTATGATAAAAACCAAGGCAGTAGTGAGCAAACTGCTGAAACTGAAGTTTAGGTCGTTTCTAGATCTGAAAACTGCTGTTTCAAATGACCTGTGGTTTTTCTCGTGACAGTAGTCAGGTATATATTCTGTAGTCTTTTGAAACTTTTATCTCATCTTACAGAAAATACTCGTCCACCTTTTAACAAGTACAAGCGGAGGGAAAAAGAGGAAAAAAAAGAAAACTAAAAGAAAAATGTTGCTTTCTTGTTCAGACCGTGGAAATATTCACAGCCTGTGCAGTTATTGTGGATGTTTCTGAACATGGTTAGAAGAAATTCTTTGACAAAAACATCTCCTCTTGACCTTCACGTTGTTAGTCCAACGCGGCGGCATTGTTCAGAGGCACTCACGCCAAGCGTCGGACTCCCACACACACACACACATACACGCACACACACACACACACGCAAGCAAACACAATTTATATATGAGGGGAGAGATTAGTGGTGCACAATCACTTCCACTGGAGCCACTTCACATTGACAGCTCTCCAGGTAAAAAGTGATTACAAGTGCAGGTGTTTTTCAGTGGGCGTGTGTGTGGGTGCTCGTGATGTATGTGAAGCCTCACTTATAGGATGACCCCCCCCCTACACACACACACCTCACCTATCCAGGGTTGTAAAAATAAAGCTGCATGTCAGTAAATCGCCGTAACTCTTTAATCCGCGTTGGGGGAGGAAGCGTTCTCGTCGCTCTCTCCGCCGTTCGTTCGCGCCCGGCGTCTCGTCTCGTCTCGCCGGAGCGCTGCGCAATTTCTGACTTTTACGAATGTCTGTCTGCCTTTTGTCACGAGTCTTCAACAGCGCGAAAAAGGAAAGCCTCAGCCCCCGCGATCGACGCCAACAATGAAGTCACGTGTCTCGTGAAAAGACGTGACTCACTTGGCCAATTAGAGCAACGATCCAACAGATAAGAAAAAGCGCTTGTGCGACGGCAGAGTTTGCCTCTGTAGAAAGTGGAGGCATAATAATAATAATACTGCTTTGTCTTTTTCCTTTTTGGACTGCGAACAAGGCCTATCAATCTTTACAGATGAAATGCTGTTTTTTTTCTTCTTCTTCTTTTTTTTTTTTTTTGAACACCAAACTAGGAAACTGGTAGATGGAGCGGCGCTGTGTACAAGAGGTGTAGTTTGGCAGGAGAATAAAAAGACTTTTGACAGTAACATGGGAGCTTTGCTGGAAGGCAAAGCTCCCAGCTTTGCCTTGATGTATTGATTATGTATTGATTATTAGCAGAGGAATGATATTTTGTATGCAAGAAGTTAAAAGGGTTAGAGGTCAGTGGGAAAATTCAGGTGAACAGAGGTTGTACCGGCCCTCTGGGGACAAACCCTTATTTATAGTTTAAGATTTCTTTCAAAATATATTCATATAAGCCCCGAGGCTGATGTGCCTTCTTGTTTTCAGATCTCCGTGGCCGATCGCGGCGACCTGGTGAGGCAGGGTGAGCTCACCGTGTGCGGGGGACCTCGGAGGAAGCGCGCGGGTGTCAGGAATGTCTTCCTCTACCAGCACGCCATCATCTTCACCAAGCAGAAGAGCCCAAGTCCGGGTCGCACCGTCTACAGCTACAAGCACAGCATCAAGGTTCAGAAGCGAGGGGCTATTTTCTTTAAATGACAAAGTTTGGAGCGATAACTCAGACACGATTTCACCTTCTTCTTCTTCCGACAGATGAGTGAAATGGGTCTAACTCAGAATGTCGGCGATGAGGGAGTGAAGTTTGAAGTCTGGGTCCGACAGGCACCCAGGACCAGAGACTGTATCACCCTTCAGGCCCCGGATAGAGCAGGAAGGGAGTCCTGGGCTCATGACATAGCCCATCTGCTGTGGACACATGCCATAAACAACACAGGTACACTGTAAACTTTAGACGCATCAATCACCCATCATGGCATCAAATCCCATCGTTACAAGTCTTTCAGACACTGAAAGTACTGAAGTCCAACAACAAGTCCAAACTGTTGTTGGACTTGTTTGTTTGCTAGTTAGTGGTAAAATACCAGAAGAAATGTCTTAATATTTTAGCATTTTCACATCAACTTTCAAAACGTTGTGATTGGTCTACACTGCAGTAGGCCCATGGTGTTTTTGCTCCTTGCTATAATTGCTATTGGTTGACCACATAGTTATTAGCCAGACCCAATATGCTAAATATGCTAAACAACAAGGACACGAGACTAACAGTTAAAAAAAACAAAAAACTTTAAGATGCAAATATGTTCTTTGTTTCAAAATGTGGAACAGTACCACCAGCATTTCCTAGAAGTAGGAAACATATGGAAACCAAAACAATGGTTTCAGTTTGCAGTTTGACATTTTTCCCCCCTTTGTTTATGCTCAGCTTTCTAAACACATCGAGCTGCTCCGTATCACGTGTTCGAGCATCGCTTCCTGCTCTTGGCTTAGATTTCAGTATCACCCCGCAATATGGTGCTCAGAAGCTCCTCATAAGATGGGATTAATTCTGTTCAGATGGCAATGTTCCCCAGAAACAATGTATTGTTCTAAAACAAAAAAACAAATGCAAGCACATGGGACGTTGCTGAGATTTTTAACCGTGATTTGGATGAGAATGCGTAGCTGTTCGCTGGGGAGAAAGAGATTCCTAGAAATGCTTACTGAAGTGATTCTTCTGAATATTGTTGACTCTTTCCCTCAGAGTTGTGTCTGAAGGAGTCGCTGTGCATGGGAGTTTCCAGTAAGCTTCTGCTGGACGCTACAGGAACTCCGGGATCAGAGCTGGACTCCATCTGCAGCCTCAGCGACAGAGGTAGGAGCACAGCGTCGAGACCCCCAGCACTGTTTCGCCTTCAAACCACGAACCGCAATTTATTTTAATGAGATCAACATGAAGTGGCAAGTTATGGCGAACACGAAGGGAAATGATGTCGTAAAAATCTCCAAGCTCTCTTTTTTATTAGTTCAGGCACCAAATATACTTAAAGTGCAGTAAGATGTGCAATGAAAACCATCTTCGCCCTACTGCAGAGGGTAGGATCTACTGTCTTCTTTATCTGTGCTTTTGGGGATACAGTCCAATCAGCACAAAGGAAAATGAATGGCTTTCTTTGATTGGCTGCCTGGTCAACACCAGCTGGTACCATTAGCGCCTCTGTATTTCAGCTTCCTTTCGAATATTTTAGAAAAGCTCCATGAAGAAATTTTTTTCAGGATTTTTTGAATTCAAATCCTTTTGCTCTGACTGAGTTTCTGCTTCCAGCTGGTCAATGAGGCTGAACGTCAAAGCAGAGCTACCCTTATCTACATAAGGGTGTTTTCACAATTGATAGGCCGGTAGACTCTGTCCGACCAGGGATCATAATTGCAACATTTTCAGCCGCTGCTTTGTTTTTACCCAGAATACCTTGCGCTATAGTCCTCTTCCCGCTTTCGGAGCGGTCTCCGGTCCGCTTGGCGTTCACACACGCGTTCAAACCACGCCAGAGTTCACTTCAACCGAACCGAGAACGAGGTTTTATACGGACCGGAGTTGGTTTCATTGGTCCACATCAGAGTTCCATTACGCATTCACACTTCCTCAAACAAACCAGACTTCCTCATCTGGTTTGATGAAAGCGGACTAAACAGGTCAGGTGTGTGAATGCACACGGTTAAATTATAATCAAGACTTCTCCCAGTTACAGTCCAAACCCAAAACCTGGAGCTTCATACAAATTTATTTTCTCCTCAAATTTCTCTCGCATTAAAATCCCCAAAAATTACACTTAATGTTTTGGAACTTTATTGGGGTTTTAACATGACAATACAGGGAAAAAGTGCAAGTGACATGCCCACCTTTGCAAGTAACTAATGGAGCTCCAGAGTTTCTGCCTGGAATGCACTTCCACAAGAAGACAGCGTTGGAAGCATTCATTGCATAATGTTTCGCCTGCACCTCTTCTTTGATTGTGCCTGTAACAGTCGGCCGTAACATCCCACCGTAATTGAAAAAAGCGAGCTTTTCGGACGCATTAATTGAATTTCTTTGTTTTTGAGCCGCTCGGAGCAGCAGATCAATCTCTTAACAGAAAACGTATTATCCTCCTGTAAAAAGTTAATGTGGTTGATGAAATCACTGTGGGCGATGCACCGAGTAGAAGCCCCACCAACCTCCACCCCCCACCAAACCCCCCATCATTTACAGTTCTATCCGTTTAGTCAGCGCACCTCTTTGGAGGTCTCGAAACTCAAGTCTTCTGCGAGGGACACGCTGTTCTTTTCAGTTATGCAGCATTCGTAAAATGAAACATTGTAGTATGCACACTAAACTATCTGACTTATCTACTTTCAGAGTAGCTTTTTTTTTTTTTGCGGGGATTCCATTGTCGATCTTGCAGGAAAAACACATCGTCGGCCTTTTGGCAACTAAGCAAATTCAAAGTAACCAACGATTTCTGAAAGGAACAGAGACAAACGACGTGATATAAATAGTTAGGGACATATTCACAACAGCAAGAGCTCACTCGTAAATCTGTCTCTTAAATACAGGGAATTAGGGAGCGCATTCATGAGCGTCGGGGGGGAAGAAAGCGAGCATGCTCTGGAAACTGCTGCCGCAGAGTTCAGCTGTTAAGTACGACTCTTCTGCTTTTTGTTTGCTTTTTTTTGTTGTTGTTGTTTTTTTTAAGATCCATCCCGTCTCTGAAGAGAACTGTTTGAAAGTGATTCCCCAATGACGCCTCAGTGTAATGCGCGTTCTGCCCACCAGGTGTCTAGTTGAGCAGATTTCAGGCCATGAAAAATGTCCTCAGGGAGAGAAACTGGTGTTAGAATGAAGGGGGGAGAAAAAGAAAATCTTTTCCACCCTGTTGTCTTCCCCTATGCTTACTCCTCAAGAATAAATAAAAATAATGAGCATAATCACCCCCGCCCAACCCTGCCACCCTCCAAAAAAAAAAAAAAAAACTCTATGGGATGATTCATGGAGAGGGGGTTTTCTCCATGGAAAGAGTGGATTTTTGTGCTGAACGTGTTCTGTATTTTGAGGCTGTTTTGATTGGATCCCCCCCACCACTCTGCTTCAGTCCACAGTAGCTGCTCAGACTCGTCCTCTGTGGGCAGCCAGAAGGAGGGGGGATCCCCGGCGTCCGGGAGGGACCCCAGGTCAAGCTCCGGATCAACAAGCTATTCACAGGTGGGCACAGAGTTTACACACACAAGCCGCGGGCCTCACTGAGGTGAATGAAAGCTGGTTTTATTCATAGACATTACTCAAAATTCCCAACATGTATTTTATGAAATAATAAGACTTTTTTTTTTTTTCCTTCAGTCACGCTGGGTTTTGTAGGAAGTTTTTGTAAGAGTTTCGGAATATGAACACCAGAGGATCTATCAAAAGACAATAGCACCAGACATGGTCAAAGTCAAGATTCAAAACCATTACAGGCCCTAAAAACAACAAACTGTCACCAAGAAAGGCAGGTTCTGATTATTCACAGTGCTGTTCATAAAGTGTTTACATCCCATCAAACTTTTCTCATTTTGTCCACAAAATTTTCATGTTTGGGGTTTTGTGTGAAAAGCCAATAAAATCAAAGCCTTTTTTTTAAACCATTTTTATACTTATAGATTGGAGAAGTGTTGCATGTATTTGTATGTAGCTCATCTGCATACATGTTTTATGTAAAAACTTTAGCGAAAAATTAAATATACTCACCTTAGAATGAAATATCACTTTTTATCTACATTATTGGGGGCTTGTCCGGGGAGACGCGATCATAGCTGCCCATTCTTTTTCGCAAAACTGCTCAAACTCAAGTTTTGAAACAGATTCTCAATTGGATTTACATTTAGACTTGGACTAGGCCATCGTTACACCAGAATCTGCTTTGATCTAAAGAGTCGGCATCATGTCTGGTGTTGCCGTCCAGCTAAAAGATGGTCTCAAATGAACAGTCCCACCACATCATGATACTGCCATTACCATGTTTCACTTTAACGGTGTTAAGAGTAACACCATGAAAGTTTTACCCCAGAGATTTGCATGTCGTCTTACCAAATCACCAATTTGAATGTTAGCGGTTGTGTCAGATTGGATGAATTTCTATCATTTTTAACTCTGTTGCCCTTTTTTTATCATTGAAAACCTGGCAAATACACAAATCCATTTTTAAATGTGTTTTTACAGCGATGTAACCTATTTTTTTCTTTCTTTTCTTTTTTTTATGAATGCAATGAAAATGAGACAAGCTGCCAGTTGTCTCATTTTCAGCGCATCGTCCCAAATTAGAGCAAAACTTTTTCTGTGTTTTGAAATCTAAATCAGCCGCGGGTATAAATAGTTTTAGGGATATCCGCTGCTCTTGAATGATGTGCTTCCTTGACTTTCCCATTTTGAAAGGAAAACTTGAAAAGGCCCTTTTCTGTCACATCATCTATGTACACCCCCGGGACACAGGAAGTCAAGGCAGAGTTCACAGTCGACTCATTCCCAACTGTGTAAATGTGAAATTTGAGTGCGATGTTACACTCCTTCAATCTGCAATATGTTCTTTTTTCATTAAGTCTTTCTCAGCGATGTTTAACATCATGTTTTAAAAGCGTAAAAGGAAACATGGAAATAGCCCTCGTTACATCACGGTATCAAGGACTGTTAGTGTTTGTTTAGGTGAAAATGCCCCTAATTATGAATTTATAAAGAAATCATTATTACAATTTCTGAGTTTTTTTTTTCTTTTTTCATAAAAAGGTGTCCGTCCCCAAACCATAAATTCACCTTCCATATGCTTGCGAAGCAGAAACACCACACTCGTCTTTAGCTGTGAGCAAACAAGTGTGCCAACCCAGAATCGGATGCATTTTTACTGTTTATACACATCCACACATGCACACACGCACACACACACACACACACACACACACACACACCCACACACACGCGCACACACACACACACACACACACACAGCCGCCCCCCCCGATCTCCTTATCCAGCAAACAGAATATGACAGATTGGCAAACAGACTGTGCCGCGAACAGATTGACGGACAGACGGACAGAACGGATAAGGGCAAACATGCAGGCAGCGACGTGCGCGCATTCAACAACAGGTTGAAGACGCCTTTGGTGCGAGAATCTAAATGTGGCTGTTTTTTTATTTTTTTCTCTCTCTCTGCCCACAGGGTCATTCTCCCTCTACAGCTGTGTGACTGTCATCTGAACAAGAGTGAGTTTTATGGGTAGGTCTGGTCCTCTCCCTCTGTTGCTCTTTTTTTTCTTTATTGCGCCGCTCACGCTCCTCGCTTTGTTGCTCACTTTGGGGACATTACGAGCGGCGTCGGCCATTCGTTGTGTCGTTTGGCAGTTATCGTTAAAAACTTCTCGGGAGAATTTTGATTTGTTGCCGTCACGATAAATTTCAGTTATTGATGGTAAAGAAAAATACAAAACCGACGTCATTATCAGAAATTTTACTTTCGCTGTCTCCTCCACCGCTGGTTCCAGTGGAACAGCCATATGAGAAGATTCAAAAATATGACTAAGTATAGGTGCTGTGCACAGATTGGGAAGAAATTTCATTTCTCATTTAGTAGAAACACTGCAATTGCAAAATTGTTTCTTTTTTTGTGATTTAAGTCCAGAAGGCCCACATCTAATTGCACCCTTCCTACTGAAATAGTGGGAGTGAATGTGAACGTCCTTTCTGTTTTTTGCTTTTCAAGAAGCAGAAACTGCACTCGGGACTCTTCGTGGCTTCCGTCGCCTCTGACTCGACTCCAAACTGGACTTCACCGACTTCCACCCGGACTTCTCTTTCGCCCTTCAACCTCCTGCAAGAGTGCAAGCGACGCCGAGGGGGGGCTTTGGGGAGGAATCAGGCTCAGCTGCACCACTCTGCATCCAAACAGGATCAAAAACTCGCCCCCCTACCCCTCCCCTTCCTTGTTTTACACCATGACAAGCACCGATTCGGGGAGGGGGGAGAAGAGAGGAAGGGTGACTCTCCGGCGCTCTCCGCCATTTTGGGTCTGCCAGTCTCAGCTGCTGGCAGAGTCATCGACACCGACGGCACTTCAAGCTTGCACAGTGCGGCCATTGTCTGCCCCGCAGCTCCCCACTAGGCCAAACCACTTGGTCTGAACCACTGACTGGCCGACTGTACACATCACATGCTCCGGCATCTGATAATAAACAGGAAGTAATATGCTGGGTGTAAATGTGGCGTGGGATTGCAGATTTAGGATGTATTATGTACTTTTATCACCCTCATAACGCTGAATGGAGACCGTACACTTTTTCTTTTTTTTTTTTTATCTGCCCTGTGTTTTATTTTTGTGTGTGTGCGCGTGTGGGTGTGTGTGTGTGTGTGTGCGTGCGTGTGTGTGTGTGTGTGAGTGACTCGGGTTAGGTGGGATTAGATCTATGTAAATGAGGTAACAAGCACACTCACACAGACACACACAATGTTCCCCCCCGACACATGCAGTCACTCTTATTGTTATCAGACAGTGGAGCACTGTTCACATTCACATGCTCTCCCCTCCTCTCCAGCTCCCGCTCATACACACACACACACGCACACACACACACACACACACACATTGCCCAGCTTAGAGCCTGGTACAGTCACTAAATGAGGCGAGCTCACATCTGAACACGTACAGACGATGCAGAAGAGAAGTGGTGTACAGTTTCGGGAGTGTGTGAGCAAATTATATGGCTTTTTATGAACAGTACTAAGAAATTAAAGTAATAACGGTATTTAGTCGTTCTTGAAGTGTAAGTAATGGTGCTGTAAATTTTTCATATCAGACAAGTCAAATTGACTTTACGGAGCAGATTTGAGCAACAAGGCAGTTCAGGCTGTTAAGACGTAACGTAGTCGATTATGAAACAAGCAGTGATATTACATTTGGTCAAAAAAATACACACTGATCGATGCTTTCAGCCTTCATTTAAAGTTTTGTGGCAGTTTGTTCCAGAAAACTGTCCCATTACGTCAAGTGCTAACATGAATTTGAGCCCATGCTTCTATCCAAGTGTCACGTTTTTGAGAAAACCTTTTAAATGTCGGAAAAAAAAAAAAAAGAAGAAAATGCTAATTAGTCGTGCGTTCATCTGCTGGCTTGGAGCAAATCAGTCAGGCTACGTAAAGCGCAATGTCATCAGATGTTCAGGTCACACAGAGGGAGCTTTTCAGGAAGTGATACTGGTGATGTTAGGAGACAGAAAAGCAACACTGACAGCGAGAACACCTGATTGGTCAAGTGAGGTATAAGTTTCAGACGTCGTAACTCATTAGTGCTGCCATCTGCCCTTTATTTCGACAGCAAGCAAGCAAAATAACTTTGTTTTGTTTGTGAGGGGTTTTTTTTCGCAAAATCGAGAACATTACTGCAAATTTTGCTAATTCCATCGACCTTTTCAACTTCTGAAGTATGTGACGCTTCAAAACAAACTTTGATAGAAACACAAATTATAAAGCACAGCCAGCTCAGGATGATGCAAAAAAGAAGAAGAAGAAAAAAATAGGGTTTTGGAACATCTGATGTGACTAAAATCAAAAGTATTTTGCCTCCAAGGATACGGTGGCACAACCAGTTCTCAGTTTCTCATATAGGATGGCTGTTTTTATTCTTAAATAGACACATTTATAACAAGCGCGTTTGATCATAAGAAATATTTCAGTAAAAAGCAAGAACAAAAGATTGTGAAGGGGCAAATACTTCTGTCCTCAACGTTTTGGTGCCGGCACTGAAGAATCTCCTTCAGTGTGTCGAAACTGAATTTTACCGCTTCACCGTTTGTTGTCAGATGCCATATTCTGTATGCCAAAGGTATAAATGGCTGTCGGTGCAATGTTTACTTGTGTTTTAAACATTATTGACTAGTTTTTTTTTTGTTTTTTTTGTGTTGTTGTTCCACAAACTGTCTGCGCTCTCCATAAAATGGAGGAAAGTGGATCGTAACGTTTGCTTTATTCGCCGTTTACCAGTTTTACTCTTTAGGCTAGCAGACATGGACGATCTCTGATCGTTTTTAAGCGGAAACGTAACACGTTTGATGGCGGCGTTACGTTTCAAGAAGGTCGTGTAAAACGTTCAGCTTTGTATATGAATTTTGAGTTGTTTTTTTTGTTTTTTTTTCTTTCCCCCACCATGTGGTTCTTGACGTTTGAATAAATTGTGTCTATACAGCAGATTTTGGAGGTGGAAGGAAGCAGTGAGTTCGTCTCTGCATTGATTCAGGAAACACCGATAACTAAAGACAACCACGTCTCGGCGCTGCTGCTGCCGCTGCCTCTGCATGCTGGGGATGACAAAAATACGCTGCGTGGCGCCAAAAACATCAAAAGAGAAACTTGAGTTGCACGTGGAAAAAGATGAGCTTTTTACTTTTCCCTCAGTTCCTCGAAAGGAGCTTTTGAGCCCTTTTGACCTTTCCGCGTGAAGTGGAAAATCTGTGCGTTGTTCAAAGTTTGGGACGAGTAAACTGTCATCTTCACACATGGAAGAGGACAGTTTACTCGCTTTTTACATCCGGAGGGAATCGCTTGTTCTGAATTTTGTTTTGAAGTGGTAAAGGGGCCTGGATGTTCAAAATTTGTGTAGGTCAAAAAAACAAATGTAAACCACGTTTTCTTTTCCCCCTTCCCCTACACTGGGGTTTGTGGCGCTAACCTGACGAAATGTGGACAAGTTCAGGGGACCGGGTGCACAGTTAACGACCGGTTTGAGAAATCAAACGCGGTCTTCACCACCGCGGACCTTGATTTCATAAACCAGGGTGTCACCGCCGTTTTGTCAAGGTCTGAAAATACATGAAACGCACACAGGCTTCTAGGCCACCGCCTAGCGAAGCGAAAGGACACGGTGTGCTAAAAAGATGTCTAATGGCGCGTCTTACAGCATCGAGCTTGTCCTTTGCTGTCTGAAACGTGTGAAAAATTTATAGTCCTGTCATGCGTTTCCGTCAGAGCAGCTTCTCAGAGAAAGATGAAAAACATTGAGATTACTCAATTAATTAAGCCTAGAGTTCGTTCCGCGGCACTACTACTCTTTTATTCTTTGTAGCTCATTTATATATATATATATATATATATATATATATATATATATATATATATATATATATATATATATATATATATAATTTCATTTTTTTTCTTTTGCAATATTAATTCCCAGAATTGCTCAGAGGGATTTCTTTGTGAAGCTCCAGTGTCACGTGTTGGTAGTCAAGAATCGACCTTGAAGTGCTTTAGACAGACCTGAGACGCGGGGTTAAAGTTGTCCCAAAAACACTTAGCACAAAGCGCCAGGTGCTGCCGGACAAGCTAGTTGTTGGTGAAAATGCAACGTGTGGATCTCGTGTGTTCTTGTCCACATTTCGGCGAAGCAAACGTCCCGACTGTCAGGCTTCATTAGCTTGTTTCAGCGACCTCGCTCCGCTCTCTCAGTCACATCCAGGCTTCAGAATATGACCTTATTTGGACCTCTGTTCACTTTTTTCCCGATTTCGAGCACATTTTTAGCACATGCGACTGGTATGAAAAGAAAACCCAACATATCCCCAAGATGTCAAGCCATTCCTTTAAGAGACCTCAAAACTAGCGTAGCGAGGGATAAAAATAACTTCCACTTCCTCCTGGATTCTGCAACATTTGCTGTAAACCTATTAATAGCTGTTTGTTACACTGCTGACTGCTATTTACACAGTCAGATATGGAAATGACACGGAAAGAAAGACGCACGCAGCTTACCAAAATGTAGCTATTTCAAACAGATACAGTGTAATTAAAAACATGTTCATTTATAAAAATAAAAAATTAAAAATGTTTTTAAAAATGTCTTGTTTAAGGTACAAGACTCGCAGGATGCAGGAGAGGCAGCCCACTGCCGCAGTTTGTGGC